TTATTATTATTATTATTATTATAAATTTCATGCGATATAGCCAGAAAATGATCGTGACTTTAGTTCCACCCCCCAATCACTTTGTTCGAACGAGGTAATACTGATATCATCATGTAATATCTACAAAGTACCTAGCAGGAAACAGCTGAATGCCGATTCAGCCGATTCATTTTTACCTCATGGGTTTCAAGGAGCCTTAAATTTTTTAAGGGAAAGGGTGGTGGGGGGGGAGGGAAGCATCATTAGTATAATTGTTCCAGTGGCTATTGAGATACATGCGCTCTGATTGGTCGAGTATTGCGTTATACCACTTCGTGCAGTCGCATGCGAGGTGATTTTAGCCGCAAGAGTGCTGAATTTCAAACTGGCCGTCCCGCCTTTTGTCAACGTCACTGAGGAACCGATAAACGCCACGGAAGAGTGAAATTGAAGTCGGAAGAGCACAAAAGAAGCTACTAAGTTTGGCGTAACACTTTTCAAATGAAAGATACGAAGCTTTTACTGATTGAATGAAATAAAACTTTTCAGTAGATTCTAGTAGACTGGCTGCTTATCTCGATACAACTGGACATGACAATTGTAATAGAATGTTGTCGACTACAAAACAAATTTACGACAGAATTCGAAAGCATCTTGAATAATTTTCACTTCGCTGTTAAATGCGCTGATCGCATGGGTTTGCATGCCCAGAGAGTACCTTACCTTGCCACAGGAAATAAGTGCTATTACTAATTCTTGCTAATCACATTTAACACGACGTAAATTAGCGCAAAGAAAGGTGGAAATTACTTTCCAAACCTTGAAGCAATAAGCTCCTAAAAATCAAAATGAAGGAAATTACGGTTCTCCGAGTAAGAAACAGAATTGCTTGAAACCGAAACCGAAATAAAAAGCAAACAAATTTTTATTAATTCTCGAAGTAAAGATCCGCAGAGCACATATTGTTTTTGTGGAATTCAGTCCCTTAATGTAAGGGTGAAGGGAGAGTCTCTACACAAATTATTGATGATCCTTGTGAATCTTCTCCCTGATAAAACGTTTTTTGATTATTGTTTCTTAGTTGTCAAAAATATGTGGAGTCGAATATTCCAAGAGAAAAAAAATTAAAAGTAAGGATTGCGAAATATAACAATCCCCTCTGTAAATGACGGAAATTAAAGCTGTCAAAATTCACTGCGATCGAAATTACTACTAATTTTGAAGTTCTCCTTTATTATAGGAAACACTAATTTCCTATAATAGGATCAATTGTGTGCGCCTGTGTTCCTACCAAATAAGAGAAATTTAGTTGATTGTATCGCAGTTTGAGATCATTGAAAGGAAAACTCTGAATCTTCATTTAAAAATAATTGCTGTTTTCCAAGCGTGGCTCGTCCTGGATGATTTGACAGTTTTCAACTGCCGAAAGACCGATACTGAAGTAATTACTACAGCCAATCATGACAAAGGATGACATCATCATAAGCCAATGACAACTCTGAATCTTCATTTAAAAATAATTGCTGTTTTCCAAGCGTGGCTCGTCCTGAATGATTTGAAGTTTTCAACTGCCGAAAGACCGATACTGAAGTAATTACTACAGCCAATCATGACAAAGGATGACATCATCATAAGCCAATGACAACTCTGAATCTTCATTTAAAAATAATTGCTGTTTTCCAAGCGTGGCTCGTCCTGAATGATTTGAAGTTTTCAACTGCCGAAAGACCGATACTGAAGTAATTACTACAGCCAATCATGACAAAGGATGACATCATCATAAGCCAATGACAACTCATAGTAAATACTTGCAAACTACCAATAGCGCAAGGAAACGCAGCTGACCAAGTTGAGAGGATGGCGCCAGTTTTCTGGTCCAATCACAGAGCGAGGTAGCGCAGAAACTTATGTGTTCCCGGGTTACTTTGACACACAATTGAAAATTACTCCATGCAGTGTTGAAAGCGATTAGGTATTTTGGTGTTATCAACTAGGTTGATAAATAAATGTAAATTGGCCAACCGTTAAGAATGCCTAGATGCATTGCTACCTGTCATTACAAGAATTGTTAACCTGTCACTAACAACAGGAAACTATGCATGGATCTATGGATGGATGGCATACAATAAGCTTAGGCGCAATCGCGATAAGACTGATTTTTTGGTTATACATGCCAAACATCGCCCACGACCAGCATTATGTGACATCAAAATAGCTGGTGCGAGGGTAGTTTCAACTGAGTCAGCTAGCAACATAGGAGTAATGTTTAACGATGTTATGAATCATGAGCATCAAGTTCAAAATATCTGTAAAGTAGCTTTCTTTCACATACGCAATTTATCTAAAATCAGGAAATGTCTTACTCAGAAAGATACTGAAACGTTAGCTCATGCTTTTATAACATCTAAGCTGGACAATTTCGATTCCTTGTTAGCCGCTGAATTGCCACAATACTTATTAGATAAGGTTCAGCGGGTACAAAATGCTGCGGCGCGTCTCGTCTCCTTGTGATATGTTTTCTTAGTTCCGATTGGCCATTGTAATTCCTTGGTTTGGTTTAACGACACTCGGTCAAAGTCCGCTGGGAGATACTCTCTGCATTCTCCGGTTGAATAAAAAACACGCAACGAACAGCTATAGGGCACTGTACGAGTCCGCACAGCTGAAGTCATTCAATAATAGTAATTTCTTGTCTTAGGAAAGAGAAGACGATTGGTCTGGATAAATTGTTTGTTTTCAGACTTTTATTGTAAACAATTGTGGTCTACATGGCATTAAAAAGAAAATCTTGAACACCAACAATCAGCCTGAAATGTTCCTTCGAGGAATTCAAATAGTGTCTTTTAGAATTAAAAATCAATAAAAAAAAACACTCGCACACACCCACACACAACGCACACCCACGCACGCACGCGCTCAAACTCACGCATTACATGTACAATAGAAAACTGTCCAAATATAAGTTACAATGATGTCTTTCTTCAAAACTCTGAAAAGAGAAAGACCAAAAAAGAGCATGACTAAAAAAAAAGAAAAAAGCCATCCAGCTCGCATCTTGTGGTGCTATGACACTCTAAATATTGCAACATTGCAATATTTTCTCAAGTTTGTTTATAAAAAAAAAAACAAGATTTGTTTGACATATATTTTCATCTTCATGCACACATTATTTCACAACTTGTTTAACAAATTTCCTATTCAGTGCTAAAATTTAGACAATGTTTTTAAATATATTCATACGTTTACCTCAACAGTGATAGTTTTCCAATCTCATTGAACGAGGAAAAATCTATCAGCATTTTCTATTTTGTACAAGAAACAATTGGTTCTTTAAGCAACATAAATTCTGCAACAAAGGTTTTCTTAAAAATAAATTATGCATTAAGTTTACATAAATAAATCAATTCCTTACAACATTGTAGCATGCTAAATAGTAAGTACTTAAAGTATGGCTTGTCTACATATTGGTAATCAATGTAAAAATGAAATTTAAAACTTCACTTACAAAGTAAAGTTGGAGCTACATTGACTCAGAGAGGATGTAAAGAAAAAAGATGCTCCTCTTAAGTCTTGCCAAGATCACATGTCAAAAATGACTAAATAACAATTAGTTCTTTTTTTCTTGCCATCTTCACATACTGACATAATCTTCTGTTAAAAATCCACTTTAAGCCCTCTCAACTATATGAAGCAATACTTCTGGCACGCATACTATGCAAAGAATTCAATTATATAAAACCCTAACAGTAAATTTCAAAAATTGGGTTGAAATCAGGTTGGTTTGTGCTGATCGATAACTCTGTTGCTTTCCGTTTGGAAGTACTAACAATTTCATCTAAAAGAGTACAAAATCTTATTTAATTAAATATGTTTCTTACTGATTAAATTACTACATGTGTAAAAATATTTTCCCATATGGCCTTTCAAAAGGAAAGGTCGTTTTCTGCACACACTTCTTTGCCTTCAAAGCAATGTGTCCCTCTAAATACACATTGTCGTAAAGATCACCCAGAAACTCAGTACCAGGCCCTTGGATGAGACCACGCAGGTTTTTGACAAACTCCCTCTTTGTCATTTTGTTTTTCACATGCGGACTGCTCAGATCCACACTGAGAAGAATCAGCGAGTGGCACAGTATAAATACACTCTCTAGAAAAGGGAAATACAAACCATCAAACCATGAGTTACCGTATACTGAAGGTAGATAAGCAGTGATATGGCAGTGATGACAGAGTAAACAACAGGGCGGAGAGGGGGGGGGAAGGGGGCACACAAACAGCCAGGAAGACAAATTGCAAAGGTGGTAGATGAACAGATACACTAAGAGAGACTGGCAAAAAGGGAATGAGGATGTCTGCTACCCTTTCTTGCCTCTCCTACCATGTCTGCCTTTTGGCCTCCACAGACTCAGTTCTCCTCACCCCTTGTTCCTCTTTCATCTCCAATAACCCCTACTACCCATCTCCCCCCCCCCACTCCATCTTGTCACCCCTCCTACTACTCCTCCTGCATGTCCTTCCACATTCAAGTCAGGTGTGAAGGCAGGCTTAGAGCCATTTGCACTCTATAGTGAATCAAATGAAGCATGAGTAAGGAAGAGAGATTTAAAAAATTGGACAGATGAATTGGAGCAAAAGAAAAAATTGAGGACAAGCAAGAAAGGAGGGAAAGAAGAAAAGGAGACGGTTTGAAAGTGGTACAGAAAGTCAAAAGAAAAATGGCAAAAAGGAAATGCTCACGAATAAAGACAATAGGAACAGCCCAGAGAAACTGCCAAGGGAAAGAGAGAGGGAGATAAAGGGAGACAAGTTACTGCAAGTAAATGTACATGTAGGTACAAAGTAGCAAACCACAGCTGAATACTAACCTGGTGTTAAGGATGTGCTAGGATTTGTAGCACAGAACGGAATTGAGAACTTGTTTAAAAGGGTGTCTAAGAATTCTCCTCTTTGTTCGGGGGGATACACTCTTTCAAAAAACTGCCTGAAATTAGAACAAGAGTTTCATATCCACTAGGTCACAGCCTTGAGCTTCTCAGTAGTTTCAAGTGGGACTGTGTGGCCTAAAATTGTTCAGGTAAGAGTTGTCCAGGTAAGAATTATTGTTGGCTTAAGTGACTGATGTTTTGACAATCTGAGGGGAAATTATCATCAAAGTTGAGTAAGGAATTAATTGTCAGTGAAGTAAGTAAAGTTGCGAAAACTGTTTGAACCTTAGGAAAAGAATCATTAATTACAATTTACCTTAATGCCACAGGCAAAAATATCCCCTCATAACGCTGCATGTTCACAATTTCTTGCAAGATGTCTCTTCTACAAAAAAAGTAATAAAAAATGAGATTCTTAAGGGTAGAGATGAAGAGAGACTTGTTAAACATTTCGAAATGGAACACACCATTTATCTTCTATGAGTGTTTGGTTATTCTTTAACCCTTTGACTCCCATAGGTGACCAAGACAGAATTTCTCCTTACAATATCATCACCAGAGCTCTAAGCTCAATTTTTCAAAAAAGTCGCCATTTGGCGACCTTCAATTGTAAAATGGTCACCATAAAAGAAATTTAGTTGCCCCTTCCCCCCCTCCTCAAAAAAAAAAACAGAAGGGGAGGACACTTCATGATARAGTACATGATGGGCTATTGCGCCGAAAGGCACGTTTTATCACTTAGGTTTGCTACTGTAAGAGAAAGAAAAGGAAGAGACTGTCTAGTAGCAAAAACGATTTATTTGAACATTACAAAGCTGCTGAGACCGTGCAACATTGCCAATTGCCCCTTCAAATCGATCGAATTTGCCATTTTTTTACGCAGTCGAGTTTCTGAACAACGAGAGGTGAAAAGAGAAAGGCAGGTGATGCCACCCCTTGTACTATTGATTAAACTCATCCTATTGTTGGTAATTTTTCAAGTAAGTTTCTCTTTTAATCTGTTGGTCGCCAATTGGTGACTTTTGCCAGAATTTTAGTCGCCAAATATTTTTTCACTCGCCATGGCGACCAAAATGGTAGCAGCTTAGAGCACTGATAAAAAAATCAAGCAGATAAGTAATGAGAATGAAGAAAAATGTCAAATTCTCCAATCTAACATCAAAAGAATCATATGGGAGACAGTAAGAAGAATTGCTATTGAGAAAGGACTAAGCTCTTACCTTGTATTTAGATACTCGCTGACAGACTTTCCATAAAGTGCACCTGTACAGTTGATAAACTTTGCTATCTCCATGCATGAATCATCCAACACATTGTGTCTGACGAGATAACTTATTCCCTGGAATAGAAAGAATATGTTTCAACACTTTTGGTACTATCTATAAAATCATAACCAGATTTTAATCATCTTAGGTAAGCTTATAAGTGGTTAACTATCAGATGAATGAATAAATGGGGTAAGTTTCTAAAGAGACTGTCAGTGGTGCTGCGTCAGTGGGAGTTAAACGGTAATTTTGGTTTAATCAAATGAATTGATAAATGTAGATTGGCCACCATAGAGAGTTTCAAATCTTACATTTTGAGCATTAGCCCTTGGTCATTCACCCTGAAAAGGCACTAACACTCGAAACATCAGCTTTGAAACTCTTTAGGGTGGCCCATTTACATTATCAACGCAGTTGATTAAGCCAAAATTATCAGAGGAATGATTTGGGTGTCCTGTGCAAGTAGTTGGGAGATCCTTTCAAAGGATGCCAGTAAATCACTGCTGATTCATGCAAACTGTAATTTTTTGCCACCCAAAAAATATTTTAAGGGAAGACTAGTACTAACAGAGAATGGTGCCTAGCTGCTATTAAATACCAACATGAAAAAAAACTAATAAAAAATATTGATTCATGAGTTTGTCCGTGAAAAACAAAGACAATATAAAGTCACATACTTTGATTCATTGCATTAAACTGAACCTGAATTACCAGTAAAAGAGTTGTGTCACTAATACACACAATCAGACAATTTCCTTTCCAGAAGGTTTACTAGTTGCTAAAATCAAGAGTCTGAACACTAATTTATAAGCCACAAATGTGAGGAGAAATGATATTGTGAAAAAGAAAATGCTTAGTCAAATACAACAACTACAAAAGCCCCTTACAAATACAGATTGTTGACATTATGATCAAGCTCAAAGTATTGAACAGACAAAAATGTCACAAAATCACATGAACCATGTGCACTAACCTGATGAGGATCAAAATTAAAGAGGCAAGTGCCCTCATCCAGCAACATGTACAGTTCCTTGTAGGAAATCTTTCCCTGGCAGTGGACAAAAATAATTTCAACTTCATTCTTTTACTGTTGATTAAAAAAGCAACTTCTAAGTACATTAAGTGCAAATGAGGTATTTGCTGAATGTATACGTTTAGTTTTGTGCAGTAAACAACAGTGTATACCAGCTTTTGATCTTGTTAAGCTATCAGCTGAGGGTCAGTTTCAAACTTAGAGGTTCTTTCTCTAAACCAGGACACCTAATCTATGCACAATTTTATTCAGCTACTAAGGAAATTTGTTCAAGGGGCTGAGTTGCGCTGTGAGTATGCAAACCAAGTTCTTCCAATTTAGAACTTAATATGTAAAATTTCTATTTGTCCTTCCTGTTTTTTACCAAGGAGCATAGTACAAAGCTGTAAATACCAACAATTGCAAATTTCTGAAGTCAACTACTGCGATGAGTTAATTTAATTTAGTAGCTTTGCCAACCGGCAGGGACACCACAACAGCTTGCACCAATTACTGCAGGCCCAATAAACCCACCCATCCCACCCCAGGGGAGGACATCCATCACACAGTAATCTCATGTGTGGGAAATTAACGTCTCCTACCCCAACCCTGCAGGAGACGGGACCTCCATTTATTTGTCCCTATCTGAGAAGACTAGAATATCTAACCACTTCTTGATGTTATAGAAAGGCAGCAAATTCTTCTCAATTATTTTAAGACCCTGAGTGTTGGTCCGGCCAGGCTCGAACCCTTGACCTACCGCACAACAGTCCAGTGCTCTAACCATTGAGCTAACAGGGAGTGGCACTAGATAAAAACAATCAAACAAATAGACACTGCCTCAGTTTCAAAAATAAGATGAAGGTGACAAAGCTTACCTGACGCTTCCTGTAATATGCTGAAGCATGGCCCCATGTAACTTTTGACAGGCTGACACAAAAACAAGAATTACAAAAGAGTTACTTAATTCTTCCAAATAACTACTAACTGTTATCAATTATTCATAAACTCATGAGGGCGGCTCAAACATATATATAACTACCTTATTTCCTAATTTGCTGTGCCATATCATATTATTGGGAGTGTTGCCACAACAAAAAATACCTTCAGGCCACCAAATATGATTTCGCAGGTAATGATAAACCTTTCAACAAATAACAGTCTCAGAAACAAGAATGAACATTTTATGGAGATGCTGGAGAGCCCCCTTAATTTTCTATAAATTTTGGATTGGATGAAAAACATCTCATTACTGACGAGTTTGTGCTCTGAGGATTTTAGGACTGGTTTAGTTTTCTTATTTGATTTTGGGATTTTGTGTAATATTGGTATATGTACTTCCACAGTTTATCTCCAAGGAGGCATGCACCAAACAAAGTGTCGGTTTTAGAAATCGCTAATCACTCCAACTAGGACCACAGAAAGTAGGGACTAAAAGGATAAAAATCATACTATAAAAAAGGAAAAAATCTCAAACGGGCTTAAGTGAGATAAATTACAACGGCGTTTAAAAATAATCTTTCCAGTTTAACTTACAACATCACAAAGTACAATGTCTGATCTAAAAGAAAACTGCGCCTTTCAACGTGACAAGAAGAAAACACATCCATTACAGTATTGAAAATCCCAAACCTTTGCCAGAGAAGTTCATTGTCAGCTAATTGCTTCCAAACACAGGCAGCAAGACATAGATCCGTTGCGTTCAAGTGCGACAAAACACACACAGCAACTTCGGGGGGGAAATTACTGAGATCAGGGAAAGATTTCAGCTGATGCGGAGTACTTCGGCTTCTGCGTTGAACTATGGACTGGAATTGACCCATGCGTTCAAAAATGCATAATACTGAGTCAAAAACTAGGCGATGGCCGGGGATTCCGCAGAACCCACTGCCGTTTCGGGGAGAATAACACTTTAAACTTTAAACGTTCATAATCACCAACTCAGCCATATGTAAAGGTTTATTGTGATCATAACAAATGACATCTCGCGTTCTGACGTGGCTATAGAAATGCGCGTGCTTTTTGGGTAAAACTGCTGGTCGATATGAGCGAATCTACGATGAAAAATAGATTAAAATTATTTTCTTTGTTTACAAATAATTCTTCCCTTTTTTTAGACACAAATTTACTTCATGTGAGATGAAAAAAGCGAAATAATCAGGCAAATCATTTTTTTAGAGGCTTTATTTTGTAAAGAACTCATGAGAAAAATAAAATTCAGATATAATGATATATTTTATTGATGGTTAAAATGAAAGTGTTTAACTTCACTCCTTTAACGCAGCACTCAGCTTTTGAGAATTTTGATAAGTCAGCTTTAAGGTTATTTTTGGGCCGATTACTTCTTTTCAGTTGAGACTTCTTTCCATGCACCGTGAAAGTTTGAATAGATATTGTAGTTTATTTATCATGCATATGTTTATAACTTTCCTATAGCATGTTCGAATAATTTTTCATCAATTTGTTTTCGATTTGCCTTTTTTGTCGATCCGTTTTATCTGTACATGTTTACCAACGAAGATCTTGGTTAATTAGCTTTGATGAAGGAATGAATTCTCCCCAGGCCAAATACAAACAGAGGCAAATTTGAATGACACGCATGCTCTATAGTGCGGTTGTTAGGACGCTGTCGTTAAACCCGCGAGTCAATTATCACTAACGGTTTTCCTCTGAATATGACATTTTTACGCAAATTTCCTTGACTTCGGCCGAAAAATGGAAAAAGCTGAATAGAACAGTCATTATAGTCTTCGGAAATGACGGAAAGAAAGTTTACCACGCTTAGAAAGCGTCTGGATCAGCTTGGCTACAGGCAAGCTTTGGGGATTGAATCTGTTCCTTTAGTGGAGAAGTTGTTTAGCGATCTTGTTCATACGACAGAAAGCTTAAAAAATGTTAAACTTCAACTGGGAAAGCAGGAGAAGGAAAGAACAGTTTACGAAGATAACGTGGAGCCATATAGAAGTGATAATGCAAAACTGGTTAAAGAAAACAATGAACTTCATCTGCAGCTCATAAAACTACGAGAGGAAACTGATCAGGTTATTAGAGATCTGAAAACCAGCGTACGAAAGTTAGAACATGAAAATGCGGACCTGAAATTTTTAAATACACAATATGTGCATAAAGTGAAGGCTTTGGAAAAGGAAAACAAGTCGAAAACTGAAAGGATACAGGACTTACAAGAGAAAAATTTGCATGCAGTTGTTGAAACTCCAGGCGGACGAAGGAAACAGATACCGCTTCGTCGTCAACGTATGGATATTGAAAGCATGGTTTCTCCTGCTCGTGATCTGAACGACAAGGCAGACGATGTACACGATCCGTATGTAGCAGACTTGTTAAACGTGGCTGACACAAGAATAGAAGAGCTACAAGTTCAAGTGTCTCAACTTCAGGACGAAAAATCGAGCACGGAGAGACGAAACAAGAGTCTTCGAAAACAGGTAAATTTTCAAGTGCAGTGACTTCCGGAAACAATCGGCAGAATATTGATATAAAAATTTAACATCTAGAAGGGAAATAAACGAGGTTTTTCTGCATTGTAGACCTTTATACTGTCTTTATCAATTTTCACTTTCGTTTTCTTTCATCGATTTTTATTGGTATGATTTTGGCCAACCCTTCAAGTTGTTTTAGATGCTTGTAATTAACACTTTTAGCTGGTATAGAATTAGAGGCAATTTATAATTGATGGAGAAACTCTCGCATAGTTTACACTTTTCAATATATGTCTTGTATGATCATTGATTATTTCAATGACTGGACTTTTAATTTGCACACCTCTGACATAACCCTCAATAATTCAAAACATTAAGCTATTAAATTTTTAATTAAATTTCTACCTTTCATATAAGTCACCTAAAAATGAAATTATCTTACATCTGAAAATTATCATAATTGAAAGCTTGCTCAATGTCACCTGGTTTTTCCTCTTACATTTTCAAGGTGAATTCCAAATTAACTATGAAATTAAATTATTGTTTAACTTTGCATAGATTAGCTTGGATGTTTAAATGAAATATTTACCCTGCCCTCTTTATATTATTTTGAATGACTACATAAATGCTGGGTGTCAAAAATATATTTTACAAAATGAAGACTTGTTATAGCACAGATATACTGCTATTTTAAAAAAGTGTCAGCCAAAACTTTATGAGAGAAATTTGGCAAAATTACATTGAAAAAAAAAGCAGAAGTTTTAAAAGCCATAATGATAAAAATTCTTTTTTATTCATTGACAACATGCTTTGAGTACATAACCAATTTCAGATATCATCTCTGTTGTGTACCTTTTGTATATTCCTTTTCATTTAAATGGATGATCTTGCCTTAGTATTTGTCTTAATACCCAATTTTTTCAAAAAGAAGATTCTTTTTTTTAAGGTGGAGTCTCGTGATAAAGAAATTGAGAGGTTAAACCGGCTGCTAGACGGTGGGCGGCCTGTTGATGCAGTCCTTAGAGAGGGTAAAAAAGACAGCAGTGAAAGAGTTGTTGCTCATCTTAATGTTCAGGTACCTGTGTACGACCACTGCTTTGTGTGTTGTAAGAGATGTGCTGGCACGGTAGCTAACATGCTCAACTCCAGATTGCAAGGTTTGGGTTTGAGCACAATCCTGGCCAATTGATACTTTATACTCACAGTGCCTCTCCCCTCTAGGGCTGTAAAATGGGCACCAGCAAACTGATCAAAAGAAACGCAATCAGGGCTTGACACTAACAGTAGCCCACTAGCCACAGACTGGTAGAAATTCAGTTTTGGCTAGTGGTTTTCAATTTCCACCAGCCAGTTTGGCTAGTAAACAGACTGAGAATTAATTGTTGTAACATCTAAAAACAGCTAAGATGTCATGAGCCATTTGGCTAGTAAGTTGAAAAGTTAGTGTTGAGTCCTGCGCAATGTCAAAATAGTATCTATTGTATTGTTTTTCTTGCTTCAGTATTTTTGTATGGTTCAAAGTTTAGTTAGGTTACCACTTGCTGTAAATATCCTTTTTTGTATTTTAGTGAGGTTAGCAAGGGTGTTGTTTTAGCAGGAAAAACTGTGGCATGCACTTTGGCTTTGCTACCTGTCTCCATAAGCTTTTTATTTACAATTTTCTGCAAGTTTATTTGTGGTAAAAATTTTAATTTCTGGCAACCATTTAATGATCTAATCGTACATTGCCAAACGGTGACTTTGAAAAAAAGTTGAGCATGGTGACCTTTTGTGATGCTGGTTAACCCCTTAATTCCCAAAAGTGATGAAAATGTAACTTCTCCCAAAAATATACCATGCATAATTCAACAGGGGGTAGTGAGAATACTCAAAGTTATCAGGGAGCAGTTGTTTTCTTGATCTAACACCAAATTCTCACAATTATTTTGCAAGGAAATGTGATGCAATTAGAAGGAAGAATTGACAATTAGATCTTGGGTTAATTTAGCCTGTCATTTATCATTTTTCTATCAGGTGGATTATCTGCAGCAGGCCAATCATGACTTAGAAAAGCAATTAAAAGATACAGTCGACCAGAAAGTTGAGGCGACCAGGCGAGCCAATGAGCTTGAAGCAACAAATGCCGATCTTCTTCTGGAACTCAAAGATCTCAACAGACTCTCCAGACAAGTTGAGCAGGATAAAGAGAGAGATGTCATAGCTATGCAATCAGAGTTGTCAGATACAAAGGTTTGGCAATGTAAATTCTCTCTCTCTCTAATTGATACTCAACATTGCTCATCCTAGCAGTATGCAGGACGTGTGTCACATAGGAACTTCGTAATGGGCCTTGCTCACCATAGAGTCTCTGTGATTCATCATGGGGACTCAGAATTTTCTTTGTGCTTGTGACATGACAAAAAAACATCTTTCCGTACATGATACTCTTTTACTGATAAATGAAATTTCATTTTATTATGGTCTGGATCTTTTTAGGCTGTTCTCAACGACCTTCAACATCAAGAAGGTGCTCATAGAACAGAAATGCAAGAGCTCAGAAAGGTGGGTTAGATCCCATATGTCAGGGTTTATATTGGACTGGAAAGTCCTGGAAATCTGCTTAACTCAAGCAGTAGAGTTTTCAGAATGCACATTATAAGAAATGTTTCTAGGCCATAAGGAGTATTGATTTTTAAGCTTGGAAATAAAGTGTTTAAGGCGAAATTTGGAGTCTTGGAAAAGTCCTTGGAAATTGTTTCTAAAAAAGGGTACAGACCCTGATATGTTCAGATGTCAGAACTCTCCAGAAACAGCAGTGCTAGCATTTTCACCGGCCTTTTGTTTTTGAAGCTCACCCTGTATAACCCTTAAGCTCCCAAAATCTGATTTTTAATTCTCCCGTGTGGCAGCTACACAATCCTTGTAATTTTAAGTCACAAGAATTTGGTATTCAGGGCTCGAATATTTTATTTTCAATTTGAATTATTTATTTCAGTTGTTTGGTGGAAAACCTGTAAACTAGCTTTTAGCTAAGCGTTTCTCCACGTTAAATAAATATTTTTTTTATTATTATTTTTTTTAAATCAACGGCCGCCCGTTAACCAATGGTTAGTAATTTTCAACGTATGGTTAGTAATTTTCAACGTATGGTTAGTAATTTTTAACGTATGGTTACTAAAAATGTGTCCAACTAACCCGACATGGTTATATAGTAAAATTTTCTAACATATTTAAACATTGGTGGACTTTGGGACAAAGAGCACGTAGACCCGACTCTCAGAAGAATACTTAGAATGCTCAAGTTGTTAAATCAACTTTAACTCTTTTTAGAGAATGTGCTGTAGATGTACTGTTCTTGACTAATCATGGTAAACGAGAGGTAAATAAAATAGGTGCATAATTGTCAACGTTTTAAAGGTCACCATCCAATTTCAGCTACTCTTTAATTTGTCCTAGTCGTTATTATCAAAATGTTCAATATTTGAGATATCGTAACTTGTCAGCTTGGATACCAAATTTTATAATTTGGTTTGTAAAAAAGATGTCTACTAACCCGAAGGGTTAGTGATCCAAAAATTAAATTCGAGCCCTGGTATTTAATCAAGACAACAACTTAACTTCTCTCTAAAGAGTTTGAGAAGTCTTGTTATTTGTTTGCTGGAGCATACTAACGTTAGGGCATATAGAGTGAAGGAACACTACATGTACACCTGGGTCTCTTTTTCGGATTGTATTTTAGAATTTAACTTTGCTCTCTTATTTCTTTGACATTAGGAACGTCAGCGCTTGATGGAAGAAAACGAGCGCCTGGCTGTGCTTGTGGAAAACGCTGAACAAGATGTGCGTCATGTCACAGACTTACTGGATAAATCTGACAAGGAGAGGAAACGTCTGTCAGACAGAAACGCCCAGCTTACCATCAATGGTATAAAATATTTTTAATTTTTCATTGCTCTTTTCTCTTTGGTGTTGTAATGCAATATCAGAGCGGGCAGTATTTCTGGGACATCCGAGTATCGTTGGTGCATCGCATTACTTCCTACCCCGAAATTGAACGATAACTTTGCAATCCTAATGAGTAGCTGGGGTGTTTTACTGCAGACTAATGTTGTAGCGTGTTGTTATGATATTGCAATGAATGATGACTTTTTTTTTGTTAATTCAGAGCGGGAGCTTGTCATGGATCTAGAGAGACTTAAGTTAACCAAGTCTGTGAAGCCTAAGAAAAGTCGAGACAAGGTACATGTTACTGCCAACTTATTTCTACCAACTTGTCTAACTGCCTGCACACGGGGCTTTAGCCTTGTATGTGCTGTCAGCTTACAAATGTACGACTTGTTTCCAGATCAAATAGGAAATAAAATTGCCGAGTGATCCAGCTATAGGAATTGAGTGATTTTCCTTGACGTAAGATAGAGACACAAGTGCAAGCAAAGTGATGGAACTTGTGTGTTTTTTCTTTTCCTTTCTTGTTTTCTTTTTACATTATATCTTACTTTCGATCGTGTTGTCGGTTCATTTTTATTTTTAATCACCTAAACTTTTGTAATCCTGTTTAATTTCTCTTACGCTTGTCTCTTGCGTCCTCATCGGGCGCTTGTGAAAGTATTTTCAAGTGAATTAAAGCAAACCTTTCGTTCCGTCAGTCTCCATCTAAGATAGAATCGCTGGTTAAAACGCTAGAAAAGGAGAGAGATTACTACAAAGGTGAATGTGAAACACTTCAAGGAATGATGAGGAAACGATTATCCGCATCGCCATCGTCAAACCGCAAAGGAAGCAAGGGCAAAGGAAAGGTAAGAGTCCTGTGCAAGAGCAAAGGAAAGGTAAGAGTCCTGTGCAAGAGCAAAGGAAAGGTAAGAGTCCTGTGCAAGAGCAAAGGAAATGTAAGAGTCCTGTAAACCCGGCCACCACCTTGAAACCGAAACCAAAGTGACCACCACAGCTAATCAGAACAGAGGAAGGTCACTGGGAAACCAATCCCAAAGTGATCTCAATAGCGAATTAAAACATAAGAAAATGTTACCAGAAGCCAATGAGGACTCTCGCAGTTACGACAAACAAACTATTTGAGGCGCGGGAAAACACGTGTGGCCAAGTTGCGATTGGTTTTTGTTTTAAGTTTTTTGTGTGTGAACCAGTTACAGAGCGGAGTGGCGCAAAACAATTGAAAATTGCCTTGGGAAAACGCTGTTTCGTTGAAGGCTCATTTACAGGTCTTTTGAAACATTGTTTTTTTATTTGCAGACGCTAGGACATTTAGAAAGCATGACACTGCTTTTGCAGGAGGAAAGAGACTTTTACAAACGAGAATGTGAACTTCTCAGAAATATGAAGGAGAAGAGCGTGTTAATGTCACCTCCGACAAGAGAAAGGGTATTGGGTTTAACTACTTTATTAAGTCCACTTTTCGTTTGTTTCACAAAACCAGAGTTAAAGAAATCGCAACGGCCAAACGTAGCAAAGTATGGCCTTAATAACAGCGCCATAAATGTCCAGTTTAGTAAGAGGCCCAACGCGTACCTTGTCCCATCAGCAACTTAATCAAGCTGCTTTTAGCTAATCACGTTCGAGAATGTTTGTCATGATTTCGTTAATCAAGGAAAGATATCGTGGTTCTTGTCTTTACCCAGATTTTCACCAACCCTTTTTTAATGTTGTTCCAGGTATCACGTGACAGTCCCAGTGAATTGAACCGTTTGAGGAGAGAAAGAGATGAACTCCAGTCGTTAGTAGAAAAATTCGAAAAACATCTTACAGAGGTGTGGAATTGTGAAATGTTACATTATATTATTGTTGCTTAAAAGTAGTTGTAGACGCAGTCATAGAATGATATACGCCCTTGAATCCGATCGATATACTGATACACCGACATATATCATTGACTTTATTTTTATTTTTTAAAATTACAGAAATAAAGGCCTTTGTAGCCGGCAGTTAGCAAAGCTATTCTAGGCGGGCTACCTAAACTGACACTGTATAGGCTCACACACACACACGCACGCACGCTCGCTCGCTCGCTCACTCACTCACTCACACTCACTCTCTCTCTCACTCACTCTCTCACTCACTCTTACTCTCACTCACACTCACTCTCACTCACTCACTCACACTCTCACACACACTCTCACTCACTCACACTCACACACACACACACACACACGCAACAAGTAAATAAATAAACGAGCAAATAAAAATAAGTAATAAATAATAGTAGTGATAATCGTGTTAAAGGCTTTGTTTAACCCTTTGACCCCTAGAAGTGACCAGCATCTAAATTCTCCTTACGATATCACCCCTGAATCACACATTAAGATCAGGAGAATATTGCAAATGATCACCCACCAGAGAAACCTTTGGTTGTAAGAAACATTTTCCTTGTCAGCACTTTACTGAGGAAACGTATAAACAGGGTTCGTGCTACTCCTTAAGCTTAGGAAGGAGGGAGAACAAGTGGTTTCCTTTGATGGAACGCGAGCTCGCTAAATCCTTCTTATCAATCATTTTGCGAATAAGAAAGGGCGACTGGGTACGAGTCTGGACTTTGGGATACCAGCAGCTCATCCAGGGGAATAAGCAATACTCCTTCCGCAGCGTAAACCAGGTTGAGCTACGACAGTAAAACGTGCAGTTTTTGCATTCAGACTTTAGAGAGATATGATAAAGGTTATAAAGTTGTTGTGTAGTTGTACGGTTGTACAATATCGCTTTTGTTAATTTTAGATTCAAGAGAATGTGAAGACATTGACGCAAGACAGGGATAATATTCAACTACTTTACGAGCAGGTTAGCGATACTTCTTTTGATTATGTGTATGGTGGTTCGTTCTTGAATCGAGCATTTCTCGATCAAGTATCGTAAAACCAACATCATAATAATGAAAATACTACAGATAATCAGATAACAGGCCAATTACAAAAGGAAACAATGAAGGATCGAAGTTAAAACGTGAAACTGGCCTCAAATGCAGAATGATCTTGCTCAACATGCAATTGGTTTGAATATTTGTAATCGGTTTGGTGGAAATGGTGGCGCGAGGTATCAGCTTAGTGGACCAAAGAACGTAATGCCAAAGATTTCTCCCGACACGTAGAAGAAACTTTCTCCAAAAAGAACACACACAAAAGTGCTTTTATTCTTCCCAGGCCACGGACGAAATCCAAAGACTGCGACGTCAGGTGTCTCATGCCCGCTCCCCTTCACCCTCTCGTGCAGCCTCGGCTGTTTTGTTACGAGTGGAGTCTGAGAGAGATGCTGCACTCGCTGATGTTCGACGCATCAATACTCAACTTGACAATCTTGAGGACAAACTTAAGGTTTGTAGCTGAAGCATCTGAGCTATGGCGGAAATTAATTCAATCCTTAACCATACTCAGGAATTTACATGCGATGAGTTTCATATCGTTTTGTTCAGGCATCTCACGAAAGCAGTCTTCAAGAAAGACGACGTTATGAAGATAAAATAGAGCGATTGGAGTCCATGTTGGAAAAGGTAAGTTTTAATTCTTGCGCAGGTACGAAGACTTTTTAACACAGGCTTCGTTATTTGTCACTCAATTGTAATACTCTAACTGAATTATCCTCGATATCAGGTTGAGGCAGACAGGAACGAGCTGCACGCTCGAGTGACGTCACTAAGAAACATGGTGGCCAATCTCGAGGACCAATTGAAACAGTCCTCGGCTCAGCTCTCCATGGCAAAGGACTCGGCCCTGGAACTTGAATCCGAGGTCAACAAGGTACAACTAAGCGCTGACCAAGCTAATCGCACAGCGGAAGACATGGAAAGGAGGCTGAGTAGGAAAGCTGGGGAGTTACAAGCATCTGAAGAGAAATGTGCGCAGCTGGAGCGTAGATTAGGTCTGTATGCTAGGCAATTTTAAAAGATGACAGACAAATTTGTCACAAGTGTTGGGCAAAGAGCAAAAATTTCAGATCGCCACGAGGATTCTAACCTCAGACCTTCGGTTTTGTCTTTTGATATTCTTTCACTGAGCAAACCGTTCCTAAATTCGTACACGACATGTGGGTGTAGGGAAGGAAAATTGTCTTCTTCATTCTATTTATCTGCACGATTTTTAGCTGATCCTAGCAACATGCAAAACCCCTTTTGTCTGTAAACTTTAAATGACCTGCTTTACCGTAGAGATCTATCTGTAATGCAGTAAATGGCCTGAACCCGGGGGTAACATGTGAAAGTGTAGTGTGATCGTCCGGGTGAGTGTAGTCCTGAGATGGACTGTTGTCGGTGGTAGTCACTGACGTTTCGACAACCCGTGCGGAAGTCATCATCTTGACTCTGATGATAACTTCCGCACAGGTTGTCAAAACGTCAGTGACTACCACCGACAACAGTCCTTCTCAGGACTACACTCACCCGGACGATCACACTACACTTTCACAGATTTATCTGTAGCTTAGCGGAAAGGGCAGAGCGCCGTATCCGAAAGTTTGAGGTTCATTTTCTTGTGGGAGATTTTCCCTTTTTGTGTAAAGAGCGCTAAAAATCACAGTTGAACCTCTCCGCAACAGCCACCTCGAGGACAGAAGAAAGTGACCGTTTTGGAGAGGTTTAAAGGAAGGTTTGGACAGCCCGTCGGGACTGGAGAGTGGCCGTTGTGGTGAGGTCGCCATAGTAGAGAGGTGGCCGTTAGTGGAGGTTCGACTGTACCATTTTTCTTGTGAAACGGTCCTTTCTTTTCGTTCCTTTAGAGGAAAATGAGAAGAGAAACGAAGAGCAGAGTTTTGAAACTGCTGAGATAAAAGCCAGTCTGAAATCATTGGATCGAGAGAGAGATGACCTACAACAACAGGTGGACGAGAAAACGGAAGAGATCATGCAAATGGAAGCAAAGAAAATACAACTGGTTAGTTTGACATTACACATAGGAACTACAGGGAAGTTTGTATTCACCTGTGAAAGTGACGATCATTCAACCTCGCCTTATAAAAGCACCTTGAAGCAAACAGCAAGGTCACGAGAATAACGAAAATGATCGCCATCTTAAGAGGCATTTGACGAAGGGCCCTTCGCTCTAACGAAGGGCTAACGCTCGAAACGTCAGCTTTTAAATCTTTACGGTGGCCAATTTACAATTTCAGCTTAGTTGATATAAGCAAATTATCTTGATTGTTGAACGAGTTCTCCTTGTCAGCGCATTAGAAAATGTATAGAGAACTATGTGAAGAATATGCGCACTGATGTTAGGTTGTAAAGAATTCCATTTCAAGAAAACGCCCTGTATCGAGCGGACATCAGTTATAGTCCCTATATATTTCTCACATCTTAACCGTAGATTAAGAGAACCTTTATCCTGCGGACGCCTGTTTCGCAGAGTGAAACCCATCGCGCAAAAATCAATCCAACCAAATAGGAAGCAAAACATCGATGCCATATATGACTCAGTCATTTATGATCCAGTAACAACTAGATTTTTCGGAGTCGTAAGCCAGAGAACTGTCATTGTAACTATTTGGTTTTGTGGCTTTTGCACGGGACTTTGACAATCTAGTTTCTCTCCATGTTAGCGTCGCAGTCTTATGCTAATCGGCCTTTTTTGCTCTCCAATAAGAAAGAATTATGTTTTCTTACTTCCTACCTACTAAAGGCAAACGAATTGTTTGCCCAAGACAATCCACAATAGCATTTCTGGTATGAAGCGTTCTTTTTGTTGACTTTCTAGTCAAACAAAGCAGTGTTGTTAATTGAACAATTTTCCCAGGTGCTTCCGTAGTTACAAGAATTTTCGCTGTTCTTTTGTTCACGAAATTATAACATCGCAGAAATAAGTGAAGCGATCGAAAGAAAGTTTAAATTGCTGAGATACTGTTTGACTGATATAGAAGAAGGGTAGGAACGGCTCTAGAGCTTTATTATTCAAAGGACGCTTTGCTTTGAAGATGGAGTGATATCAACAGAGTTTTTGAAACCGCAGAGCGCAAGAAAATAGTTTAGATCGTTCATTGTTTCCTGAGCATTTGTCTCTTCTATGGCGTGGTTAGCGGCATTGCACTCGTTAAATTATCTTAAAACATACGTTGATGGTGATGAGGTAAGATTTATTTACATTGCAGACTTCAACCAATCGTTCTGCAATCTTTCTGAATCTTATTACGATCTAATCTCAGTAAATATTCTAGTGCTTCACAAGTCGCGTAAAGAGAAGTCAATACTCTATTTGCGTGCGACAGATCTCGCAGTTGATACTGTTTAGAGTCATTATTCACGATTATGTGACTGATAAAATTTTTCAATACAAAAAAACACATTTTAGATTGAATTACATCCTTGTAATTGATCAGCTCCTTTCGTTAGGAAATTGAAGGTGGTGACTGCTCGCGGAGAATAACTAAATAAAGGGAAGGTGTCGAAAGCAATAAATATAGAAAATATGCGGTCGTTTTGTAATTTTACTTTCATTGCCTTTAGGAGAAAGCTGAGAGCGAGTTGAAGATGAATATGGAAGATGTTGAGGCGCAATTGAGGTATTCTTTCAAGTTTTCTTTGATTTGAACTGATTCAAAGAATTAGACCAGCCAGTGAAGTCTGCATCCATCCAGTGAAACCTTATTTCGGTTTATTAAACATAAAGCGACAAGGGGTATTGATAGTCACCCTGAATGGGATGGTAGTCCATCGCAAGGTAACCCCCCCCTCCCCCAGCAATTTGAGAGGCTTCCCTGGCAACTCGCTGGTACCCAGGCTTTTACTATTTATAATCCTGGATAGAATGGGGTTCTGTCAAAATTAAGTATCTTACCCAAGACCCGGCCAGCTCTCAAACTCAGGCCTCTTCTCCGGGATAACTTAGTTTCATCAACTGAGTCGATGTAAATTGGCCACCCTAAAAGCTTTAGTCCCCACCAATAGCGAAGCTCCACTTTGTGCACATAAACATACACACACAACACACTATTCCACCGATAGCGAAGCTCCACTTTGTGCATATAAACACACACACACAACACACGATTCCACCAATAGCGAAGCACCACTTTGTGCATATAAACACACACACACAACACACGATTCCACCAATAGCGAAGCACCACTTTGTGCATATAAACACACACACACAACACACGATTCCACCAATAGCGAAGCACCACTTTGTGCATATAAACACACACACACAACACACGATTCCACCAATAGCGAAGCTCCACTTTCTGAATATAAACATACACACTCAACATACGATTCCTCCAATCGCCCTGACAAAGAGCTAACGCTCGATAAGTCTTAAAAAAAATAATAAAATAGCTTTTAAACTCTACGGTGGCCAATTTACGATATCAACTCAGTTGATAAAATCATATTACCTTGTTACCCCCTCCGACGCAGCACCACAGTTTCTTTAGAAACTTACCCCCTTTTTTCTCTTCTCCAAGAGCTCAGCTCGCGAACTGTTAGACCACTACGTCCACTTTCTTAACCCACTTGACGAGCTAAAGACGACAACACAAGATAATTTTTTTTTTTCCTTTTTCTGCTTGCCAACAGTCACGCGTTAGAACAAAGCGGCCTCAAGGATAGAGAAATAAAGAGCCTACGGCGCCAGTTAGATTCCAGAGACGACGAACTAGCTGAAATGACGAGAGGGAGGGAAGTAGCTTTGAAAGAGAACAGGCGACTACAGACAGATCTCAACACCATGACTGAAGAACATCAGGTAAGTGAAGGGAGTAAGCCTCTTTCGTGTGACACGTTTTCGGCGTGTTACTGATCGCGGCAGTATGCAGGGCGCGTGTCACAAATGAACTTAGTTATTTGTTAGCTCATTGTAAAGCTCTCAGTAACTCAGTTGGTAAACACAGCGGTTCAATTTCAGGGGATCAATTTTGGCTGGCCGTGCGCCAATTTCCCGCGCAAAAGTTTAGTAGAAAACATATGAAACAACCTCAGGCCCTTGGATTCCGCGCGACGATTCGAATGAGCAACAGGGACTCTGTGTTGGTGAGCTGGGCCATCTATAGGTTCATAAGTCAGGATTTGCAGATGAAATAACAGAAACTCTTGGAACCTTAGAGCGGGAAAGATGTTCAGAATTTGTTTGTTGTTTCGGGAAAGACTGATAAAATAGTATGCCTTTTTTTTCCAGTCTATCCATCAACAACTTCAGGATGCTTTAGAAGAACAAGAGAGTTTGAAGGTACAAATAGCTGAATATGCCAGACAAGTGGCTCGAGTGGAAGAACTTCTGGCACAAAAGGTCAGTTAACTACGGTTAGATCTCTTCGTCGTAATATCATTGTCCTAGTAATGTTGTTTTATACAACGTCCTTGAATCTTGGATTATTTTAGCAAAATATCGTCAAGTTTTTGTGTTTGCTTGTGTTATCGTCCCATTGTGCGACGTCATCCAAAAAGAAAGAAGAGTGTCGTGGAACCAAACATGTAATCACGTCGGCAAATGAGAACAAAGAGAAATATTATGAAAATCCAATGAGAAAACGTAATACAGGCGTCAAACGCGCGAAAACGCGGCAGACCAAGTCGTGCTGGTTTTACTCTTACATCTGATTGATTTTCGAGGTTGGCGCCAGAATTTTAGACCAGTCATAGTGTAGGAGTCAAGGGCGGGAATACGCGGCTTACCAAGTCGTATTGGTTTTATTCTTACATTTGATTGGTTTAGAGGGTTGCGTGAGATTTCTCGACCAATCACAGTGTAGAGTCAAACGCGGGGAAACGCGGCTTACCAAGTCGTATTGGTTTTATTCTTATATTTGTTTGGTTAAGAGGGTTGCGCGAGATTTCTCTACCAATCACAGCGTAGGGTCAAGCACGGGTAAACGCGGCTTACCAAGTCGCTTTGGTCTCACTCTAACACCTGATTGGTTAAAAGGGTAGCGCAAGATTTCCAGACCATTACTGGTGTGTGGTAAAACAAACCCAATGTAATCCCAGAATATTTTGACATTTGTCTTCAGGAACAAGAAAAAGAAGAGCTTCTAGAACAGTATCGAGTTCTGTCTGGTGAAACGGAGAGACTTGTCTCTGAGTCTAAGGCCTCTGCAGGACAAGTTAATAACTATCACATGGAACTAATTCAGAAAGAACGAGCAGAGATGGAACTCAGCGATAAAATAAGAAGGCTTGAGAGTGAAATACAACAGGTAGGTGACATTGAAATTGTGAGTTTTCTGCATATTTCTCGCTTTCGGGTTACATAAAATTAAGGTTGAGCGATTAGCCACGTTCTACCGTAAACCGTACTCTATATGTCATGATAAAGTATGGAATGAAACAATGTGATCAGAATATTTAAGACTGTAAGGAGCGGAAATTAGCGAGAGGGTGTGTTACATTCTACAAAGCGGTTTCTGACCCATAGAAAAACATTTCATCGTTTTAAAAAATAACGATGCCTAATATTACAAAGATAAACGCAAAAAAGGTAATTCTGTTTACGTAAATAACATGAGTAAATTAACATAAAAGAAATAGCATCATATTGAAATTCGTAAAATAAACGAGAGAAAATTCTATTACCACCGCAAAGAAAACTTCAACAGTAAAGTTTTTACTGGCTTTCTTTGTAACCACAGTTTGATCTTGTCACGCAACGCGCGAGGATTCTTGCTTTGCGGGACGGGATCATGCTATGGTCTTCAAGGAGACTAGATTTTTACCAAATATAACTTGATTTGCCTTGGAAATCTTTCATCAGGTGAGAGTTTCGCTCAGGAATAAACGGAAACTGATGAGGAGAAACTTGTTGCATCCACACATATCATCCGAGGAGTTTTCTGATTAGTAGAAATAAAATATTTAATTTAATATCTAACTTAAAGATACTGGAGACAATTTTATAAATACTAAGCATGTGGCTGTTTCTAAAATTTCTGATTCAAAATGACATTAAAAAGCACAAGCATTGTTAATTTTAATAAAGAATTACTAAATAAAAAATTAATAATTGTGATTGAATGATTTAATAAAGGTGCAATTCCAAACTTGGAAAAGTGATGAAAGGCGGTAATGAAGTATTTTACGAACTATCATTTAAAATAATACATGTATTCGGTAATTCTCTATGTCTTTTCTTTATACACATTTTGGTCTTGTGTCGAGAGAATCTTTTTAAAGAATAACAAGACGTAGCCTTTTTCACACTGTTATCCTTTCAAATTTTCAGTTCCTTCAGCCTCAAAAATATGAAATAATACCTTTATAAGCAAAGTCATTTTGGCTGATAATAATCATTTTTGTTACTCTGTGTAAGACCCGTCGTGTTTTATAAACGGCAAAATTTACCCAACATAGCTCTTTATTTTCAACGAAGAAGATCGAGTTTTACTTTGTTTATGATAACTTAAGCCCTTTAGGCTTCAGGGTTTTGTGTGTGTTTTTAGTAAACGGGTTTGTAATTCAAAAACTTTAGTATCTTAGCTCGTTTTAAGAAACTTAACAAATTAAACATGCATTTGTTATAAATAACCTCAGTAGTTCTTTGTTTTATTTGTAAGACTGAAATAAAGATTTCGCTACTACGTTTGTAATAACATTCAGACGTTTAGCGACTAATCTACAAAAATAAACTAATCATGGTTAAAATAAACGATTTAAGTGAAAGATTTTTCCAGTGTTAGCTATAAACCCTTTGAACACTTTTAACTAAAGTCAAATGAATATAAGATGATCTGGCTAATATGGCTTTAGAAACTCCCTACGTTGGCCAATTTACCTTACTCAGACAACGACGATGCTGCACCACAGTTTCCATAGAAACGTACCTCCATGGTATAGATTCAGGTTTTGTTAAACAATCGCAGAACCTTGCCCTAATAACCGATCCCAGGGCTCAAGGGCCAATACTTCAAAAGGGAACTCGAGAAACACCTTATTAACATCTTTATTTCAGCCAATCACTTTGTGTGAGAGTAGTCTTGTGATAAAAAACAAACGTCGTTTCCTGTAGGCTTGCTTTCCATAGATGAACTTGGATAGCCAACGAGGCGCATAAAGCCTTCGACCCCAGTCCCCTTCTCCCCCTCTTTCTATGCCTTTGCTCTTCGATGCATTGTTTATGGATCAGTTAATTATCCCATCAGTATGGAGCTTCCCATCAAGCCTACGATATTCAAGTGTCCAGTCTCACTCGGTCATTGGCGCAGATGGAGGAGCAGCTCAGACTGGCTAATGAAGACAGGGTAAGTGATAACTCAGCATGCCCAAGCAGGTATTATTTTAAAAAGCCAAAAAACCTTTTGATAACGGAAAAAAAACATATTTTTAAAGGAAAAATAAAGCTAATATAAAGGACAGTTTGTGCTAAGCAGCAAAATTCGTGCTCTGAGTTTTAGGTCGCCCATCTGGTAACATTATAAGATGAATTTTGGTGACACAAATCTGCAATTTTCATGCTACGAACTGAATACAGAGCTCTCTCAAAGTTTTAAGCAACTTTGTGGTCCTTGCAGAGAAATGTTGATCTTGGTATTTCTTTTTAAACAAGTGTTAGAGCTTTTCTCATCCTTTCGTTGTCATGGCTGTTTGATTTGTAGGAGAATATGATGCAAGATCTTTCAGCGGTCAGGGAACTTTGCATGAAACTAGACCAGACACGCGAATCTCTCTCCAGGCAACTGGCTGCAAAATCTTTAGATCATGATCAGGTTAGAATTGCTCAGCGTTAACCATTCACACTTCACGTAACAGAACAATTCGCGATTACCATAACACATTGATTGTTCGGTATGTCAGCAATTTTTTTTTATTTTATATCTACAGATGCGTGAACTACTTGAAGACGCCAAGATGGAAACAGACGCACTACGCAAAAAGGTTTGGCCATAAAGGACAATGTTCTAGAAAAGCGAAGATTATATATTTTGTCTCATTCCTAAGGAGACATTTTCATTAAAATGATGTTATTAGGCCTATGTACGATTAGCCGCCGTCGTGCTATTCAACGTTAAATTTTTTGTTCTTTGTCGATGTAGGTGTTCTCAGAGAAAGAGACTGTGAGAAGTTTAGAAGGAGTGCTAGCAAAGCAAAGAGAAAAGGTATTTTATTAAAACTTCCTGGTTATAACTCTGAAGTCCTCCAGGTATTTTCCGTTCCAAATTCCTACAATACAGGTGGTTTCTTGGCCAGAGTGCTCTTAAAGATTACTTCGTTGAAAGTTCGTCCGCCATCTTGGATTTTTAAACCTGCGGATGGTTGCGGAGAAAAAACGTTTGTGCCGAGGGAGTCGACCATAGGCGGCAAAAGGAGAGTGGGGGGGTGGGCTAGAAAGACAATCATTACTATTTTATTTAGTGAAGGGGTGGGGAGGGTAGGAATCAGATACAACTTTGTCCCCTCTCCCGTGACGGTGGTCTGATCAAGAGTGTTTTATGATAACAACAGAATCTAAAAGGTCGGTTTTTGTTTGACAGGAGTTTGTGGGAAAGAAGTCTTTAGAAACAACTTTGGAAGAAGTGGATAGATTAAAAGACAGACTGGCCAAAACAGACGAGGATAGGTGAGATGTAAGATTGATAGGGGTCTTAGGCAATCAAAAACCAACTTCGACTTTCGGCCAATATGCACTAATTTGGATTCGAAGAGTCAGTCGCTTACGACGGAGTGTCAACGAATGAAATTTGTTTCTGTTTGATCTCTTTTCTGTTCAGCTGTTTTATATAAAATTTTTGAAATGTAACAGCGGAGCGCACGCGTAGCGGAGCCCCATAATTGTAATAACCTTTACTTGCTCTAGCAGCGGTGTTTTATCATTTTTCTTGTGTTTTGTTTTGAACTTACTATTGAAATTTTTGTAAATCGTTTTCTCTCTAATGTTTCGCGGCTGAAGTTTTTCTTGAGCGCCCTGATTAGACCTCGGAAATGGTATCAATCCATGGTAATTCTTTTTCTTTCCTCCTTAGATCTTATCAACGTCAAGAGGTCAACACATTACGTAAAGCATCTGAAAGACTTGAAGACGAAGTAGCCAAGTTGAAAAAGAAACTAGCCAACGAGAAATTTGAAAGGTGATTTATTCAGTTTGTGGGTTATTGCATCGGCGAATCTTTGATATAGTAGTCCGGGAAATCTTTCCTATGTAGAGTGCAAGGAATATAGTTCGGTTCTCAACCCACCCCTCTTGTGTTTCGGGAGTTGTTAATTCATTTTCTGGTGCCAAAGAATTTTATTTCCATAGTCATTTCACACTGTTAGAGTGTGATAGGAAACGTTTGAGAAAAGTGCACAAACCCGCTTTTATTTTAAAATGACAGGCCCATAACTTAAATTATTCCTTTCTTTAAGCAGGGAAAGGTTACTACAAGAGACGAGCAGAAAAGAACGAGATATTACAGGGTCAGCGTCCAGTAAGTATTTCTTTACCGTGTGCATAACAAATTTTTTGCGGGAACATTTTTTTTTTTCGGTGTGAATGACTGAAATTTCTGCCGGGATCATATTTTGGGATAGTTCCGTAGAACAGCGTTAAAGCCACGTAATACAGAGAAAATCCGATTCGTTAATGGCTGTTTCGTGTGTGCGAAAACGAGAAATACGGATTTGACATTTGATTCGCTAGCGGAGTTTTCATTTGACTACAAAGAAAAACAACAGCAGTTTTATTTGCACCTTAAATAAATAGATACAATTTTACAGAATACATTTTTAAACAAAAAAGTCAGGAGCAGGAAGAAAATTAAACTAGAAGAGCGCTCGTTAGATAGCGGTTCATCGCTTTTTGTCTGTTTTAGGGGAGTCACTAACAGGCCGTTACTCTCGCAACACGGAGCAAAGGTTGCATACTTCGTTTAGCAGTGGAGAATTTGCAAGACTAAAGCCCAAAGACATGTCTTCACCACTTGCCTCTGATCACAGTGACACAGGCAGACGACTGATATCACCCATTCGTAGGCGAAGTGTTGACGATGTAAGTTATATTCATATGTAGGACGTTCCTTTCGCAGAAGAACTTGTTTCCAGGACACCTTTGCTTGCTTTTTAATGTTAAGCTTTGACTCTTTCACCTAGACATCAGATTCCATATTCTCCTTACTGTTCTCTATACATTTCTTTTGGTACTGACAAGGAGAATTCGTTTAACAATCAAAGCTACTGAAGTTGGTGATCATTGTCTTAATTCTCGTGATCTTAACTCTGAATGATTCAACAGTGTAAATGTAAAGAGAAATTCGATTCTGGTCACTCTTAGAGCGTTGAAGGTTAATGACAAACTATCGTCAAAGAATCACTAGGTTGATCTCAATACCCAATTAGATTTCGAGTTTAAATTTGAAATCAAAGAAAAGTGCGAGAAGGAACTTAGTATCGAACATTTGTTTTTGAGAAAGGTGGGAAAAGGGAGGGCCGAGGGAGGTGCAAAAGGGAGGGCCGAGGGAGATGCAAGAGGGAGGTGCAAAAGGGAGGGCCGAGGGAGATGCAAAAGGGAGGGCCGAGGGAGGTGCAAAAGGGAGGGCCGAGGGAGGTGCAAAAGTCAGGCGCCATTTGAACTTGAGTGGATAAAAGGATTCAAAAATAGTGCCGACTAACTTACAAACATGTAACAACGGAGCTCTGCTCATTTCTTTTCGTGTTTTTATTTTTTTCCTTTTCGAAATTATGATGGCATCTTTCAATGGTTCTTTCTATTTCGTTTTAGGACTTTTCAGATGCAAGCTAACAAGAATTAAATAAAACTTAGTCAAAGGAGGGAACCGATCCGTTTCCAAGGGAGAGAATTTAGAATACACAAATGTCTCAGAGATATTTCACACGGGATCACACTTTCGTTACTAACCCCATTAACTAAAGAATCGACGTACTTTTTCTATGTTCGTGTACCCTTTTTAAGTACTTTATTATGTTTTATAGTGTATATAAGATTTTATCAATGGTATAACCATACGTATCAGAAATTCACGTCAAGAGTATTAAAGGCAATGCGCTTCGAATATTATTTCTATTCAGGAAATGTGACAAGAAAAAACCTGTTGAGAAAGGCGGCCGCCCCGGGTGAACTCACCACAGTCTCGACAGGCTCAAAAGAAAAGATGCGATCGCTTCTCAGGTTGATTCATTGTTTCGCTCTGAGCACAAAAATGGGATTATTGTTTGCAATTGATTTTCGTTGCTATGTGGAAATTTAAAATGGAAAAATTAGTCTGGAAGTTAAATTGATCGCTTTACTTTCGCAGCCTACCACTAGCTACAACAGAGCCTCGGGTCTTACGGTCGCGCAGGATATTTTTTTAGAGTCGAAAATGAGCATAATCTTCGTCCGCACAGCGCACGCCCAACCTATTGCTCTCGCTCGTTCCCAGTCGTCCATAAATTGTGGGCGGCCCACGCGGACGGCGTTGATGCGCGAGGTATGACAGGTTGGGAGAAGGCTTCCCATCAATCCTTTCTCATTTAGGATCCCCCTTTTTGTCGGGCTCGTTTTGATTTCTAACGGAGCCTAGTCAACTGAAAATTCGAAATAGTTTGATTGTTTCTCAAACACGAAACGGCCACAAGCGGTCCATCTAAAACTAGAAGACGGTGTCCAGCCTTTCTTACCAAAATGCAAGACTATAGGAAGTTGTCAAATGCATTTGATTACAATCCACCATGAGAAAATTGTTAGACTGATATGATGAATATTTGTAATTGAATACAGTGTTTCACGAGTGTTAGGAAATTATTTTATACATTGTATTACACTGGGAGAAATAAAGTAAGAACCCTGTTTAGAAAATTCGTAGGTTTTTCATTTATCTATTATAATGGAAATGTCAGTGTTCAGTATTTCTGTTTATTTTTTGGCGTTAATCAATGGAGTTTCAGCACAATTTCAACAGTTCAATTAGAGGAGGCAATGGGACGATCCAGAGTTATTTATAGAAGGTCCCTTGTACAGGAGTCAATTTTCAGAGACATTCTCATGAAGACTAATATCGACTTATTATTATCCAACTACACTCCGTAAAGTACAAATAAAGCCCAAAACGAGTACAAATCTCACGCGGTATTTGTACTCCAGAGAATCGATCATACAGGTTTTCTCGCATCACGTAAGCGACGAATTGGATTGAAGTTTAAAAAAAAAAATGGCTGACAATTTAAATTATTTTTCTGATGACGAAGAGTCGGAATGATTGGCGAATATTTATCTAAGTTTATTAGATATTTAGACGACAATGGAATTTTATCATTTATTGAAGAAAATAGAAGCAGCAACACGAGAACGCACCAATTCCGTTCCGCTTCGCATACTTCTGTCACACACTCCCCGTAAATAAATATGCGCGATATTCGCCCTCACTGGCACCGTACTTCATGCATTCCCTTCAAAGTCGGACGATCGCCTCCGAAATCAAACGAAAGCGTTCGAAACAAGACGCAATCGCCCGAAATCAGACGATAGCGTTCAAAATCAGACAAATGTCCGAAATCGTCTGAAAGGACGAGAGGTCACGAAATTTTCAACCCGAGAAGATGGATCCATCAACGAGTGACGGGTAATTTGAATAAATTTTCCCCGCTAAACAGCTCTTATTAAAGCCACTATGTTTAAACGCTTCTCGATTAAACCGAAACCTAAGCATTAAGTAACTACAATGGTCAATTAGCAGAAAGAACTAAAAGAAAATGAGTACAACTTGAAACCACTATAAGCGCGGGAAAATTTTGCCGATCAAGTCCATTTGATTTGAGATGATTTTGCGAGATTTCTTGCCATATTTGAATAACTTCAGCGACACATAACAACAACATTGCTTTAACAGTGACCTCGAATAATAAGCTTTTGATGGTTTTGAGTCCATTACCGCCCGTAAAACGAAACTCAGAAGCGCTGAGCTGAGTACGTAACTAACCTGATAATCGGCTTTTACGTAAGTGTTGCTGATGGAAACAAACGGCGAATTTGAAGCTTGTCTACTAAAGTTTTGTAATCTTTTTGCACCAGGAGTCATTCCGAAAACAACATAAAGGAAACTTTCAGTTCTTATCTCTCTAAAATAACTTCGTTAACCACAAATGACTGCATGTGGTTTCCAATGTAAATTCCGGGGCAAGAAGATAGTACGACCCTTCTCAAAGTATAGTGATCAAAAATAGATTTAAAAGCATTTCGTTCCAAATGCTATCAACGACTTCTCAAGAAAACAGACAGAGGTTAGACAATGTATAACCTCGCCACATATTTTTTTTGCACTTTCAGGGATCGTTTATCTCTCATGAAAGAAGTATATCCAGTAAAAATAATTTGTTTGATTTTCAAAATTCAAACCTGAAAATAACAACAAGAAGAAACTCATCGAGTTCAAAGTTAATTATCGATCTTTGATGTTTATGGTGGTGGCTCTGCTTTTCGTCGGATAATCTCAGATATGATAAATTATCCATTGAATGGAAGCATCTTTCTTCTTTTGACACCACAGCTGACAAATTGACTAATGTCTTCACAGACATAAGTTCAGTCGAAAGGTCCATGATGCAGACAAACACCAAACCATCATATAGATTGATCAACATTTTGTCGAACCCAGTAATGAAATATCAGATTTTAATTTTCAAACCTCTGCAACAGCAATTTAGATCTAACCACCAATGAAAACTAGGTCAAACTTTAAGCTTCAACTTAACACGAAGTTTTTCGTGTATCGTGTTCGTCCGTGCAATAATTTTCGATATCAAGATTCTTCGGGAGATACCAGACGACCTGAGGTCACAACTCTAGGGTTACACTCTGGCAAATTTCGTCGATAAGCTAAAAGATTGTTTTGAGGAAGCTGGAATGAAAGCCAGAAAAAGAAATCGCAATAAATGCTGGGTGGTATTTTTAATTATATTAGACACGGCAGACTTGAGGTAGGTCTAAGTTTTGATTAGTGAAGGATTTGTTTATGTCCTTCGGTTTTCTTAATAGACTTTTAATGTCGAGCTGAAGGGTTGCATGCAAGTGACCCAGAGGACTTGAAAAACAAACAGCAGACCAACATAGTTGCTAAATTCAAATGATAATGGACCGCCATCTTCGAATTCAAATTCTTTCAGCATAATCGAAAAATGGATACTCTTGTATTGTCATTTATCAGAATGTTTTCATTCAGTCCCGCCCCTTAACAGAAAGCTTCTTCAGTGTCTCGACACTGTTTGTCTTGTATTAATCGTCTTTTGGGTTTCTTGTGGCTAAATCTTCGTAAACTCGATGGAAGGAACCGAGAACATACTTCACAAATGAAAATGTCTTTTGTTCGAAGATTTAGGAATTCCTACTAATCCCATGGATCATTTCGTTTTGTGATAATGATAGCTCTTTGTTTCTCAAAGCGATTCTTGGCAAGATTATGAACTGAGTGTTCTTTCAAGGACATACTCGATTTACCTAGAGTTTTCTCTGTGATCAAAAGCGGTGAGATTTTCCAATTCGTTCCTTGGTTTTTAAAGTACGGCTTTAAAACAATAAGAGCTGGGAGCTTTTAAATTCTGGCAAAGTCTCTGTTTTCTCAAAAGATTATACAGAAATGTTTTTACGAGTCTGTTCGTGTTGCCCACACTTAGCTGCCAAGAACAATTCCGTGTGATCTTCTTGACCGGAGAACCGTTGCTGATTAACCGCTGAAGGATTCTCATATATATTCCAGGGACGGTTTTACAATATCATAACAGCTTTTAAACCTGCCCACAAGATAAAAATGCATCTAACAGAAAAACAGCAAAAATCTTGGAATTATGAACAAAGTGTAGGCAATGACAGCGGAAAATCGTTCTCGTACTCCTAGGAATAGTTAATCCTTCTTGTAAATACAACACTGGTTAATATATTTTCACTTAGAGATGAGATGTATCTCAGACGACTCAGCTTTTTCTATTTCTTTCACCTACAATAAAAATCTCAACGTTCTTTCCAAATCTTCAACAGTTATTCTTGGTGCTGTTTGTATTCTTCTCTTGAGGATAACGACTCAATAAACAACTGAACCTTCACATTTCTAAAATAAAAGCAAATGAACTAAAGAAACCTGTGCAAATTTCATACGGACCTAAATTTCAAGCACTGTAAATTAGCAACACTGAAATCTCCTATGTGTGTATTATAATGGCCATAACCAAGATAAATTTCTTTGTCAAGATATGGAAACGAGAGCTGGGTTTTGTAATGAAGTTATAGATGATGCATGTTGTCGTGCAGGGAAATGAAGGTTTTCTTAGTCTTCGAGAGAAGAGATTGTGTTCTGAGACAGTACACTGTTGTTTGTCATAGCACATAAGGAAAATCTGTCTTAATCATTTTTTACTGAACTCTCATGCACATGGCTTGCTTTTCTATTTGATTTCTCTTCATGTGGAAAAATGTGGTAGTTTTAATCTGAAATGAAATAATCAATATTCTAATAATCGACGTTCAGAGAAAAAGTCAACAGTTCCACACACAGTCAGTAGGTCAATGCATTTTTACTGTGTTCAATTATGTTTATCCGGTGGGAATGAATAAGCCGTACGCCTTGTAGTTGTCACCAGTATAGTTCCTGTGGTTGTCTAGCACCTTTCATGTCGATTAAGTTGTGGTTTGCAAAAATCACGAATATATTTTCCTTAACTAGAAGCAAAATTTAGCTTTTGTTACGGAAAATGGAATTGAAAATAGCCTTTAGGGCACAAAAAACGCATCTGCTTGGAATTAATAAAGAAGTTAGCAGTTGACAATTCTAATCATGAATTGCTAATTAGAATTTAGACACTCCATTACTCTTGGAGAATAAGTGAAATTTCCGTTGTAATTTGTTGTAGTTAACCTTGCAATAACAGAATGGTCATTTTGTGCATCCTCTTGCAAACAAAACAAATTTTACATTTAGAACTCGGTTTATGCAGATAATGAGCCAAATTTTCCTTAACTAAACTTTTTCAGTTGACCACAAAGACCCCGCGACATAATTTTAGACTTATTGTTTTCATTATGTAATTAGTAGACTAAATTTGTAACAACACGATGAGTGCTACGTAGACAAAATATAAACTGGTTTGTCTTTGAATTTGCACGCAAAAGGTTATAGGTTCAAAGAAAATCAGTCTCGAGGAAGATCGAGGCTTCGCCAAAGTAAAGCCAACAACATCGTGTTAATGTGATACGTTTTAGTTGTGTTGGATGCCAGTACAAACCATCTGAGACATGAGTTTCTCACGGAAGTTGAAAGTGTTATGTGGCTCGACTTCCCATGGTGGAAAATGGCCCTAACTACAGAGTTGTTTACAGTTGTTTATCAAGCTAATTAAAGCATTCTTTATGATACCACAACGTCCCACCCCCAGTTGATCATAATTCATAGCTCGACTCCGCCCTATGATGAAGCATTTTTAGGTTTACAAAGCGTATTTAAAACATCATCCAGTTCTCAAGATTGAGAAACAAATGATTTTGCCTTGTTCCACGATAATCCTCAGTTTGAAGAACAAAATATTTGGCCGCTCTATTGACCATAATGTTTTCCGCGAACGAGTTTTGTCATTGTTTGGGTAGCTAATGTGATTGTTATCTCCTTTCTCTGGACCAAACGCCTTAACTATTAGCAAATATTACGTCTTGTGTCTCACGAAAGTTGTCCAGCTTCAATTAATGCCTTTAAGCAAACGTCTGCTACAGAATGGCTGGTTCACTTGCACAAATGCCGATGAAACAACCAGCATTTGGACATTGCGTTCTAAATGCTTTTGACGGCCAAACGAGAAACTTATCACAGACAACCAATGCTTTAGATATTTCGGAAAGGTTGGACATTCTACTCCATTAATCACATATCCAAAAATAAGGTCTAAGTTTTGTTTTCACTATGGTTAGTTAATATCAAATAATTTTCTCCAAAACGTCAATGATACGAAGAACAAAGTCGGTTTAGGCGACCAATTTTGTGGCTTGCTAGCTCGGCAAAGCCAGCTTTTAAAGCGCGATATATTCATTCTCTCCGTCTATAACAAGCTAAATTAGATACTCAGTCATTCCAGTTTCACAAAGCTGATTTGTAAAGCATTTCCGTTAAACACTTTGTTTTGCTTTCTTGGATTAATTTCATAACAGAAATGATCTGTTTCAGTTTGTAAGAGTCCATCATGATCATTGCGATTGCATATGTATCTCCGCAAATCTTTTCTTTGGCCCAATTTCTAGCAGTGATATCAGAGCGTAAGGAACTGCAGTATAGTTTCGTATAAAGCACAGGACTAAACGACTAACAAAGCGGGAAAAGAAGAAAATAGAAAGCAAATAGTTACGGTTAAGCGGCCGTCTGAGTCGAACTTTCACTATTCCTTCCACAGTGACACTGCACACGTACAAGACCTCAAAATTTCCCAGTTTTTCGTCTTGCCTTCGCTTCCACAGTGTCCAAAGGCATTTAAGAGCACTTTAGAAGTCCAAACAACAGTGTTTGTTCAAATAACACCAGATAAAACTCTGGAGAACGGTCGTCGTGCAAGGAAGTGAATATGACAGGTGGACATTTTGTTCGATTTCTGGAGCTTGTCAGAGCACTTGGACACTAAACCCAAAGTCCTCTGTTTATCATCACTGCGCTTTTAAAATAAGACAGGACCACTACTATTAAGAAAATCGTTAACATAATACGCGTTTATTTTTGAACATGAGAAAACCACTCTTTCGCACTGGTACGAAGGATACAAGATGGAAATCACTTTGCACAGCCTGAAAAATCACCCTGAATACACCAAAACTCCTTCCGTCTTCTGCAGTAAGTTTCTTAACTACTTTCTTATTCATCATACATTTATTATCGTAAGGAAGTTAAGTGATGAGTTTTTAATTTGTACATAGGCTAGACACCTTATGACTCAACGTAAATATCTAAATTATTACACAACTATTCTTGAGATCTTCGAGAATCGACCCTTCCAAACTACTTCCATAGGTATTCAACAACCACCTATGAGTCGTACCCATCATTATTTACAATGCAACTCTCTACAGAATATCTAGGCCTCAACGTAGATTCAATTCCCTGTTAATTTCCAAAAATTTTCCACGATTAAAGAAAAGTAGTAACAAATTTCTCAATGGCAACATGACAGAATCCTTTCGCTTCTCAAGCCATTGTTCCCAAGTGCCCCGTCTGATGAAGGTATTGGATTCTTGTGCGGAATCACTCCATGTTTGCTAAGCACGTCCTCAATCAATCCGTGTAATGGATCTCAGTTTGGGCTCAACTTAGTCACAAAATGTGGATAAACACACTTTTCAATATTTTTGTGCAGAAAGACGCGCCAGATGTAATTTATCATTACGCTACCGATTGTTGTTTGAGGCTTCCCACGAGCTCCAAAGCCCATACGTGTTGTGGCCATCCTGTTCTGGAGCTTCGACGCGACGGGGAACAAAATCTCTGCTTTTCGTCACAATTCTGTATCATAAAGCAAATTCCAGAAAAAAAAACTCTACTTAATCCGAGGTTCATAGCAAAGCGAAAAAAACTCTTCCATCACTTTTGATGTATGGATTTATCACTCTTCCGTTTCCCTACCGCAACTAAAATTGGCTAACTTGCATGTTGCAGTAAGAAATGAACTAAAATTAATCAAACAATCTGTTCGTAATTAACTCTACTTTTAATGAAGAAAAGAGCTGGAACCCCATAGAGAATTACAATGGTATTGTAACACATTTGGAAAAGTATTATTGCTCAAATTTGTTGAGATTCAACGCCATAAATTTCCTTCTTGCAAAATTAACCCACTGTGTTGGAGGGAAGGTATGTTCATTGCATTCTCATGGTGGTAAAAACCACACGTTCGTTGACCGAAGTCAGTTGTTTAAGTACTTAGGATTGCTATTAAAATATAAAGCAATTAAGCAATAATGACATAAGCAGGAAACTCCACTCGAAAATTGCATTTTAGTATTTCTAGCTCACAGTTAACCCCTATTATTCAAGATACTATTATTATTTACCTTTGGTGAAGAAACTAATCGATCAGAGCTGTTGCCGTCATTGCTATCAGTGTCGTCGTTGTTGTCTGTTTTGCGGCCTGATTCGTCAGGAGGCGTAACAATTTCCTGGCCTTGGCTTTCATCTTCCAGTTGATTCTCCAAATGATGAATGTAGCTCATCGCGAGTTTCAGTGTTTTAATTTTCGATAACTTAGTGTCGGAGGGAACATTTGGTATGTGCTTCCTCAAATCATCAAACGCAGCGTTTATGTTCTGCGTTCGTCGTCGTTCCTTTCTACTTGTCGCCGTTTTAGGGTTGGCTCTCCTTCTCCGGCAGACACTTCTAAAATTTTGCTTGTTTGTAGGAGAACTGCTTTCTTCTTCGATTTCGGTCTTGGGAACATCGTGATCATCCATGTTAGAACGCCTCCAAAGTCTCGATATTCCGCCTGCAAGGTTCCAACAATAAATCTGGCGAAATCGCCGTCAAAACTCTCCGTAAGATATGTTTGGGAATTTCAACGCAGACAGCTGCTGGATGGGTTAAGCCAAAAGTATACAACCGATTCTTTCAGCTTGTAGGTGCTATTGTTTTCAAACAGCTCTCTGTCGGTGGGAATCTGTCCCAGAATCCCACCCGAGTGTTTTCACATGTGTGAGTGTTGACCAGAGGAAGCCGTATAATACGTCTCTCATCGCCTTCAGTTCTCTTATCTTTCTTGACCTAAACCTCCTCTGACATATGTTCAATTGTTAATTTCTGCTTACCAGTGTTTATACTTTCATTAGCCTTTTGGCGCCACAATTTAAAGTAGATACGAGTTCGCGTGTGGTCGTTGGTCCAATGTTTCAAAAATGATGTTTAGAGCTTTGACGATTTGACGTTTCACCAGAAGCGGGAAAAATCAATTTTCACCAGCAACATCACAGACTTGGCATGCTATCAATTTGCGCATTTTAGACGCTAATGCACTTGATAGTAAAGGAACGCTGGAATATCGAGACAATTTGCAATAATTTTGCACCATTGTTCCAAATACCAAGTCAACAATAAGCACTAGTGATGTGCAGTGGTAAAGATCCCACAAAAAAAAATTGTCTTCAAAGCCACGTTATGGCCAAAGTATGCAGGCAGCAATTGCGAATTGAGTTTTCTCTGGGCATTCGATTGGTTATCGTTTGAACTCAGGAAATCTTACAAGATAAATCTTGCTCAAGCGATAAAAACGCCAACGTTGTTGTCTCCTGCTTTTTTATTTGCCTCTCTACTCGGACACATCGAAGGGAAAGTAAAATTTTTTCCTATCTAGAAATAGAATTTTTGGAGTGAATCTAAAATAAGCATTCAGAAACTAATGACTCTTTTCCGGCTTTTCCACGCTCGAGGAATACAATGTGCACCTGAGTATTCAAAATATGAGGAGGGTCCGATTGAAGAGGGTTTTAATTCCAGCTTGAAAAAATAACCCGTCAACCGCAACTGAGAATCAAAGATATCCAAAGCGATAGGTCAAAGAAATATTATTTCAGGCCTCTGTACTTCGCAAAGGGCATATTTTTAATTCCCCTAAGCCGAATCTTTGCCAATCAACGCTTCGTGGAGCCATAAGTAATTTATCAAGTAAGTGTCATTTACGTGTTCAGGAAACTGGACAGTTATAGTTTTGTCTTTCAGCGCGAGGCTGGCTGAAACATTTTAGTTTGACATTAACGTCCAAGTTCATTCAGCTTTTCCATCATCGTGCGATTTGCATAACTAATTGATTTAAATGTAAGGGAAATCTTTGACCTTCACTTGATTGCACCTTAGCTAAGTCGTGGGAATAAATTGCTAGTACCTTAGCTAAGTCGTGGGAGTAAATTGCTTTCGAAAGCATCCTCTGAGACCTCTCATAAGGTGTTTCAGTCATTAAGTCTGTGATAGAAATTACTTAAAAGAAATTCAAGTCAAAACATTCTGAAAAGAAAAGAAAAGTAACTGACGACAGTTACAACACTGCTGTCTTCAGCCACGTACAATCCCGTTCATTTTGGGTTAACTTTACCACACGAAAAGATGTGTTTTAGCCTCTTAGCTTTGTGGTTTGTCCTAAACCTAATTATGTGATGCAGAAGTTAAAAAGAGCCATATTCACATTCTTGAAATGATTTATTGATCTTTTCGCTACTAGACAGTCTTAATAAGTCTGAGAAGTTTTTTGAATTTCGAATTAATTTGTCTGAATGCTGTACTGTAAAAATAGAAATCTTCTTTTTGGATAAGCGTACAAGGGGATTCAGTTCCAGTCGCATCTCAAATCAGTATGTATCACCAAATTACAAATAAGACTGTATTTGGAAAAACTGTGATACTTTTTCGACCTGCCGCGGTAACCTCCACGTTAAAAGTCTTAGTTTACAGACAAGAGATCAGAATTAAATCAACAAAATCTGGAATTTTCCAAGTCAGCCCGTTTCGTTCGTGTAGGCCTTTCAAACCTACTCACCGTTATCAAAGCTTTCTAAGACCATAGTCAGTTTAGAGAGCTACAGCGATTTTTAATTATACTTTCATTCCGTTCTAGTTAACGGAAGGTCAAAGCATGCCCCTAGGGCACGGAACAGCTTTAGCTCACACACACACACACACACCTACGGGTTCACCAACAACGTGCGCTTCTCGTATGAATCAGCGAAAATTAGAGCTTTTGACCTGTCAAAGACATTTTTAGCAACGACTAGTGAACTTGTCAACAGATGGAAACTTATGTTCTCCCGAGAAAATCCACAAATCACATAACAGTGGGTTTTGACTGTGACAGTTAACTTATCTTCTTGGCTAAATCTTCCGTGTGCCCCGAGGGTTGGAGTTTTAAGTCTCACGTATGCGACCAATTCTACTTTAAATGTTTGTCTCTGCAGACTTAATCCAACGACCATTGGAAATTGGAGACAGTCTTTGTGTTCCCATATGCAAACGTTTGTTGCGGGACAACAGAAATCCTGTCTGCAGAGAATTTCGAGGCTATAGCGGTTTCCCACGAACCATGTCGCTGTACTGTTAAGAAATGACACAAGAAACAAAAGCATGCATAAGATATCTTATCTGACTTTATATCAAACGGGACAGCATTTTGAAGTATTCAGTGCAGTCTTTGTTGATAGTTACGACGCGGACGCCGTACGCCAAACCACATAATGTAGTAATCTATTAAAGAGCAAATTGCTTTGTTACAGGGCTAACAACGATTCAGTTCAAAACGAAGGCGTGCAATCTGTCCGTTTTTATGCTTCATTTGTAACTTCACTACAATACAGCGACAAGGTTTTGATAATTTTGTTGTGTAAACGTCCTTTAATTGTCCCAATCAGACGGTGTTGGCCCCGTAGAGTAGGAAAAACAAAGGGCTTGAATAAGCATGGTTACTGCAGGTGAAAAAGTAATCTTTCTTATTTCCACTGCTTTTTTTTTTCGACATTCCAGTTTGATCTTTTTTTTTTTTTATGAAATTTAGATTCACTTTAAACAGTTAACATCGACGGGGACGCCGACGCCAAACCACATAATGTAGTAGTCTATTAAAGAGCAAATTGCCTTGTTACAGGGCTAACAACGATTCAGTTCAAAGCGAGGGCGTACAATCATGCCCGTTTACGCTTCATATGTAACTTCATTACAATACAGCGACAAGGTTTTGATAATTTTGTTGTGTAAACGTCCTTTAATTAATTGTCCCAATCAGACCGTGTTGGCCCTGTGGTAGAGTGAATTAATCATATTCTTTGACCCAGAGTAGGAAAAACAAAGTGTTTGAATAAGCATAGCATGGTTACTGCAGGTGAAAAAGTATTCTTTTTTATTTCCACTGCTTTTGAAAAGTGTCACCTTACTGAGTTTCTTGCGTGATACTTCTCCCGACATCCGAACAGAGGAAAACAAATCGCTCATGTACGCTTCCTTGTACTTTCCATCAATAACGATTAAATTCCTCTGGTAAACATGGTGATTATCCTTGTACAATGCAGTGAAAGAGTTTGGAGGTTAGAATAGCATTACAAGGGCTGAAGGCATATGAGCAGACAAGAATTAGTCACTGAACTGTTCTAAAATCAAACAAAGGAAGTAACCGTCTGATCGAGGAGCTATTGGTTCTCTTTTCCTCATTGTAACCGGTCAGCTGATCAGTCTTCCCTACTTAGAAAACATTGCTATGTGCAAAGATTCGAACTAAAGTATTTCAATACAAGTTACATTTTGAAATCTGGTTGTGATTCTTCAACTAGCAAAAGGTGATCTACCGAGTTTTATTTTTTTTAATAACTTTGGCGAGAATTGCAACCCCTCTCGCTCGAGGTTTAAACATATCTAAGAATTCTAGAACAAAAGCAACGATTTATTTTGTTTATCAAACAGATTTGATTTTAAGCATAAAATATTCTTTAGCACTGTTTGAAATCGTCTATTATCTTCATCATTCTCCAAGCAGACAACTCAGCCGGCTTATAAGGGCGTCGAATATGTCGCTTTAGACTTTAATCACAAGCTCACACATATTTCTAAAGCTTTCTAATTTCCGTTTAACCATGACCATACGTGCCCTGAGCGAAAATTACGGCGTGAGAAATAGTAACGAAGTCGATAAAACGCCGTAGAATTTTACCCTTCTTTGGGACGTTTGTCGGTTTATTTAGACCTATAGTGAGACAAATGTTCTCCATTAAAATTTATTATGTCGACAGGGATAAGGTAAGACTCGGGTTTTTTTTTTTTTTCGACATTCCAGTTTGATCCTTTTTTTTATTAAATTTAGATTCATTTTAAACAGTTAACATCCTGGTTGATTAATAACCAATAGGAAGGTTGTCGATTTCTTGATCATCGTTAAACTGCAATCTCTTGAAGAGAACCGCAATTTAGATATCTTGGAGCTAGAGCGCACGGTAAGGTGGACATCTGATTTTCCACCTTTGTCTGTTATATAGGTTTGAAACTGCTATTATTATTTTGGTAAAGTATCTAACGAAAGCTCGTGTTTAAAAACTTCAAACACATACGTCGCTTTTAAAACTTCGAGAGCTATTTATGAATGGTTTATGTCTACTAAAGGATCAAGTTCATCATCCATGGCTGACTTGGGTCTCAGTCAGGTGGAATATCTCCAAATAAAGTTATCAACGATAATTCGATATATGATGTAAATTGCTGAAAAAAATTAATTCTTTAACAATCGTTTGATAAAGCAATAGCAAACTTTTTAAAATACTTTTTGTGTTTAATACAGTGCGTTGACAGCTTTCCGGCAAAACAACAGCCTTAGTTGACTGTTTTGCCATGGAGTCAGCCATGGTTTTAGAACTGAACGATGGGTTAACACTTGAATTCTGCAAAGCAATTCAGCAAATGATAAGACTGTACCGTCAGCTTTTTTATTCTCACTGTACATTATGATTGATACTCTCCATTGCAGGTTCATTCTTCTTTTCAGTGCAGTGGAAAAAAGAATTCTTAGGTTGCCAAGACATCGTTTGACCGCCCCAGACAACATCATTTCCACGTTCCATTGATCCTCTTAATAGCAAGAAATTCTTACTCAAAGTAGTTGACGTGTTTTAAACCCCAAATTCTCAGAAATACTACTTCTCTTCACCTGCTGTAGACATATCGTGTTCACGTGAATGTTTAGAATGTTTCTGATAGCGCCTGGATTATAGCCGTGCAGGATTACTTTGCATTCATTGCGGGGAATGATATATTTTCTATTAATCTCGTCTTCCAAAGCGAAAAGTGGGTAACTAAAATGTGTTAGAAAGACTTCAACTGCTTTTGCAAATCTTCAAAATATTCTCAGCTGTGAAGCTTTTACGCATATCGTAAAATAAATCGCGATTTCTAGTTTTTATCGTTCGAGAGGCAGACGGTTATAATGGGATTAGGGCCAACAGTTTCCGTTTGATAGGAAACTCACGCGACATAAATAGTAAGACAGAACTACTCTTCTTGTCTTTGGTGTTAAATTAAAACAGTTCATTGTCGAGATTAGACAGTTGGAGGGTTGTAAGACCACTTTTAGGTGCTATTTGGCTGCTCTCGCTAATTGTCGTGAGTTTGGTTTTGTCGGGAGTTCAAGTTGGTGTATCACTCTGACTTTCCCCCATCTCAAATACTTGACATAAATCTTCTTATCTCGCTGAAAGATGGCTTTTACACAGAATTAATAACAGCGAAATTCTAGTGTACACAGCAGACAGTTCGAGTACATTTTACGGCATCACCTGCAAAGGGTTTTTCGTTGTTATTTCCGGAATTCACTCCGTAACGGTATGTTTCTGTTGTAGTTTTAAATCCCAGAGAGGTACCACTAATCCATTTGTGGCTTTCAAAACAAATATATCATTTTTCAGTCGCGTAGACTTTGTTTTTCTTATGTGTTTCTTCCGTAGATAAAGTTCTTACTGCGTTGATAAAAATTTTCATTGTCTCAAACGAATCACTCGAAGTATGAAAGCGACAGGAAAAAATTCGAATTTCAAACTAGCCTGATCTGCGACATTAAAATAAGAACAGTCTTATGATGTGCTGAAACGATAGCTTGTTAGCAGTTTCAGTTGACAAATAAGCCTAATTTTTTCAGGGAATAATTAAAAAGTAATTTAAATGTTTAATTTCTTTTTAGCGCTCCAGTAAACAGCCACAGATGTAGAGTGACTCCAAGAGCTGTGCAACTTGAGTGGAAGTTGAAATAAACACTAGCTTGAGGACTCTTAAGGCTAAGAACGGTTTTTTTGTGGAGCTGTTAAAGTGATTATAACACGCTATTCTAAATGTTTGACCTTCCGACAGATTAGAAGTTTTAAGTCGTTTTAAGAATTTTCAAGAATACAAGGAGATAGTCCAAGATTGCCACCGATTTCACAATGAAAAGAGATAAAGCCAAGGCAAAGGTCTACCTTTATCAACCTGATGGTTTGTTATCTAAGAATTCATTTATTTCTTAACTGAAGTTATTGTCATTTTTATCAAATGATAAGCATTCTTGAAGTACTTGGGGGGCGTAAATAATCACAAACATATGTTTACTGATGTGTTTTTAAATGATGGGGTTGCGGACGCTATTGATGGAGTTGAATAAACTATAGAACACATTAAAGTGAGTGAGGAAATTAAATAAGCGAAAACCAAAGAAATATGTACGCCATGCGGTCCTACAACTTCTACATAGCGATGCGATTTGCCCTTGCAGATCTGATTCTCGGGCGTGTGTTGTGATGATGATGATGGTTTATTAAAAACTACACACGGTGGCATAAAATTATGAATTACAGTGTGTTTACATATATATTACGGGAATAGATAAAATTACATTTGTTCTTGAAGGACTGGAATTACAGGCTATTATAAATAATTTACAATTCAGAGGGTAATAAAATACTATAATAGAGATAACTAGACCTTATGATAAGTTAAATTTCGCCATTGCTGGGAAGAAACTAGAACCAAAGCGTTTTGTTCTACACTGAAAACGGCTAGAACTGCTACTGCTCCTAAGGGGGTAAGAGTGGCACTTGGATCGCATGGGAGGGAAGAGACGGTGCATGGTTCCTTTCGCCGAGGAACCATGCAATTTCCAAAGTTTTCTGAAACACTTTCACTGGGTTCCACAAGTGTATATGAACAGTTTTTATTTTGGCAAGTCTTACCTTAACTTGTCATCGATCCAAGAAGCAAGTAATTAGTTTAAACGCTTTAAGAGTTTCATTATAGTGTTTTCATCACTTACAGAAAAAAGTCATCGCGAAAAGTACTCTTATGTAATTTCTTAACGAATTGAGCCATAGTTTGATTAAGCATTGTTTTCTCCACATATTTAAGCCCAATTATTTTGGAATCACTCAAAAGAGTTAACAATTCTCTCCATGGTTGTTGTATGCGAACTAAATTTGCAGATATGACTAACTAGAATTGGTTTAACTTTATCGAAAACGATGGTCTAAAATTCTTGTTCAAACTTGAAAAAACTGTCGTTTGAAACATTTTAATTTCTGTTTCTCCTTATCAAACATCTTATGAAATTAGCTGGCAAATAGTTAACGTCTCAGGAAAGACACAACTCGAGAATATTTCCGCCAGTCTGTTTGTTGTTCTTACAGATCTAATTTTTAAAAATGTTGCTTGTATTTCCCCTCCGATGTCTATTTGGATAAACGGATAAACCTGTTAGCAAAACATCGAAGAAAATTTCTTATGAGAGTTTGTTTTAGGTCTCAAGGGAAAACAGACGTCGAAAGATATATGTGAATTTTTGAAAAAGAAACTTTCCTTCTTTTGAGGGAGGAAGGTATCCCGTTCCTCAGATAAAGGAATCTGCTTAATTTAACGGGCTCTTGAAAGACCAAAGCGAGCGATTAAAAAAATTATTCATTCCTACTTTAGTCATAATTGAATAAAGAAAGGTCGAAACCTTTCGCAGAAGAGCAGAACCTTCCACTTTTGTTGAGCTAGGTGGAAAGGAGGCAACTTTGGGCTGGGTAGGGAACTGTTTTGACTCAGATGAATCTCTCGGTACACAACACTTGCGTTAAATGCCATTTTTTTTATTTGTTTCGTCAGTTATTTGGAGGGTACAGTGTAATTTCTATTCGCCACACTCTTGAAGCATCTGTTATCCAGATAGAGAGGAAAGTTTTGTTTCTTCATTCACTAAATTCACTTACAATACGGCAGATCGGAAATTCTGGAAATTCCTCTTGATTTTCTTAGAAAATAATTCAATTAAACACAAACAAGCAATGCGCGAAAGGATGCTAATTAATGTAAGTGTATTTTTCCAAAACCGACTTCGACTTTGTTCGTTTCTGATCCTTATTACTTCAACTGAGAGATATCACTATTTTTGGAGGAAATGTTTACAGTTCACTCACATTCGGCATGTACATTTTTCAGCGTAATCTTGTTCAGCTCATGAATTGCCGCTATAATAATTATTCTAAAAAAAAAAAAATATATATATATATATATATATAACTAACTGCAGACAGTACTGTTTCGGCCTTCTGGGCCTCATCAGTGCAGTGCTAATGCTAGGATGGAGGAGAACCGAGACGGTCACCCCAAACGACCCAACCTCTTAGTTTCCGATTTGGAACTAATTATCAATACCCTACTAATTTACCATTAGGTAAATTTGAAATTATTTCTGTTCATGGTTAAAATGAGTTACCGTGAGGCTACACTCATCTTTGTTCGTGAAGAAACGCTCGCAAGATCGATTGTAGAAAGCAAACTCCAGAACTCCTTTTCCCGGAGTGAGAAGGGACAAATTAAAGAACAAGTTGTTTGCCATGGTCTCAAATTAGTTCAGTTCGGTGAATTTTACAGAAATGCAAATCCTTTTTATTCGTGTCCGAGAACCATTTTCATGAATGTATTCAAAAAACGCGAGTACTCATAAGTACTAACAAATAATCTGGATTGAAAACTGTAAATCGGTTTAAAACTGACTGGTTTATTGACGGTTTTTATATCGAACGTATAATTCGGTCATTTACAGTAGTGGCAAGAACTTGTCACCAGCATCAGTAAAAATGAACTTAAGTACACAGTTAACAAAAGCAACCATTGCAATGTCGTGAATACATCCACTCGTGTTTTTTTTTTTTTTCGGTTTTCTGGATAGATTTGGCGTTCTGGTTAGGTTTGACTTAATCGTACGAGCCAAGTTCAGATAATACTTTAGTTCGAATTTTCCGAGTCAAGTCTTTTAAAGTAGTTCGGGTAATGGAAGGGTTTGCAAAAAAAGAACTTGAAGAAAATGCTTTGAAGAAGCATTACATTTTTATAGGATTCCACAAGTATTAAACCTTTTATAACAAAAGCCCTCTCTGGAGTACCCTTTAACGAGTGAAATGTTTTTTTTTAAAACTCCTCCGCGCTTCACATTTTCGCCGTGCATAGTTTTCTTTTTGCGTTCTCTACCTGTTTCTACAGCGCTATACTTGGACTTGAAGGCTGGTTCGTTTCGTGCACTGAATCTGTTGCCTTTCGTAGCGGGGCAGAAAAAAAGGCAAAGAGACGTTATCTTTTTGGCTTAACCCTGCCATATATCGGTCGGGATTTCTAAGCGCGGGGGAGTCAGCTAAAATCATATTCTAAACGCGAAATCCGGCTCATTTTCAACCACAAACCACAAAATTTCTTAATACTTCTTGGATTTAGGCTCAAAGTACGATGCGCGTGAGCAAAACGTGTTCTGGTAAGTTACGAGGATTGAAGAATTGTGACATATTTTTAGCGCCAAAATCTCAGATTTGCTTTCTTTAAAAAATGTACGTTAGTAAATGACAAAGCTTCAAAATCTATCGTATACGAGGGCAACTTTCTGTTTTATTGTACGTTACATTTTGATAGCAATTTAACGAGAAATTTCTGACACGTTTCGAGTAAAAACAATAAGTAATTGTATAAATATTCACAACTTCGAGTAAAGTAACAATAAATAAGCTAGCAGTGTTTTCGCTTCACCCTCTTACTCACTGATTTACTTTGAATATTACAAACCAACTTTACTGCGTTTAAAAATCAACCAGACATTTTCATCTATGTTAAATATAAACTAAAGAAGGGCTTTGTTGAATTATGATAATAAATCTTTGTAGCAATTTTTATTTACATGGGAAACCTAGTGCGTTTAAAAAATGTAGGTTTCCTGTCATTACTGGTGAAATTTTGTTGAGAAAGGAATCGTGTTTTCAAGAATAAGCGAGATGTTATTTCACATTGATCGCTTGCGATGCTCTAGTGTTATAGCTGTTGATTATCCTTGCTGCAAAACAAAACTATATATCTTTGATAACAAACTAATCCCATAAATGTTTATTATTTTACACTGTATTTTCGAGTGTTCCCAAGTGCATCTAGCGCCTTGGCCATGTCCATCAAAAAAGCTAAAAATTTCACCCACCGGTCGATTAAGAGTAAATTGCGAACTTAATTGTTGAACCACAGAAGATTGAGCCATCTCCCTTCAAACGCCTCGTGTGTTGCTTTTGACGTACGCGTCGTAATAAAGCAGTGATCGTAAGATTAATGAATTCAATAACTAACATCTAGCATGTAAAATTGAAACTACGAATTTACGTTACGAACAATAACATAAAGGGTCTTATTATAGCGTTCCATGGACAACAGGCGAGGCGGTTTAGAAATAGATGTGATGCATTCAATTGTGGCTAATCCAAGAGTAAGTGTGAGTCGTGTTTCGCAAGTGCGACCCATACCGTCAACATTTAAAAATCTGTTTCTCTTTCCTGGGACTCTCGTCAGCATTTTACCCCTGGAGGTATTTAGAGTTATAAGCAGGTTTGGAGTGGAGGAGCATCTCAATTCCTCAGCTCCATCGCCCATACATACTGCGGCCATCCCGTTCGACCTCGTTTTCTCTGAGTAGACTCATTTTGGCTAGCAAGCTGTTGAACAGGGAACAATAAGTAAAGCAGCAAAATACCAAGGGAAATGCACACCGTATGTTGCGGATATGGTGGTAACTAAACAAAGATAATTTCACTTACATTATTTTCTCTTTTTCTCTTCTCTCGGCCCTCATTTTGAAAGGATAAATCCGCCACAAAGTTGCGATGACTTCGGCCCGTCTTTCCTTCATTACTTTCTTCGAGAATTTCCATCAGAAACTTGATGTAGCTGATGGCAAGCCTGAGTGTTTTGATTTTCGACAGCTTTGTGTCTGGAGGGACGTTTGGGATATGATCCCGAAGCTCAGCGAACGCTGTGTTCATGGTAAGAGTGCGTTTTCTCTCTTTACGATTTGCGGATCCGCGAGGGAACTCAGAGGTGCCTGTGTCGGGAGCTAACGAACTCGGTTGGTCGCAAGACTCACTCTTTGACTTCTCCTCTTTCAAGGGTTGTTCCATTTTACGATGAAAACGATCGCCCTTCTGATAGGGACAGCTTGTGCGAACAATAGATAATTTGCAAGGACTTTGAAACCTCTTTCACAGGGAACAAATAGTTACGGATCTCGCAGCTGCGAAACGCTACCCAACTGCGTCTCGAACTGGCTGACGGAAGTTTATCAACGCATTACCTAACACTTATCATCCAATTACAGAGCTTTAAAAACGTGGAATTACAGATAACCATGATCTGTTTGACAAAACTTAATAAGGATCACACCTGTTAACTGAGAAATTTCCAAAACATTTTGACTTAAGTTCAAGTAAATACGAACATCTCAAGTGCTATTCGCTTTTTCCAATAAAACAGTGAACATTAATTGACGTGTTTACTTGCTTGTCTACAGATAAATCGTAACGCCCCGTAATCAATGTCAAGCGATGTCAAAACAAAGCTACCTTGGCTCGTTTCGCATGTCTCACCTTGAAAATTTAAATTTTAAAACGCCACCTTCAAGATTTTCTTCTGTGGAAACAAGGAAAATTTTCATCAGAATTGCATAAAGGCACAATAGAGTCGTGCGTGGAAAACGTCAAATAACACCTCCATTTTTAATGTCATTAATGACTTATTTTTATTTTCCTTTGTCTTCTCGTGAATAATCGTCGCACCTAGATATTTTTCTCGTCTGCGAGCGGAATATCTTCTCGAATGTTGTTTTTTACATTGTAAACATTAAACTACTGCAAGATTAAGATTCTTCAAAACAACTCGCACTGTTTTCATTCATTAATGACCTCTAAGTGTTTGTCGGCGCAATCCCATGATATGCAGCGAAACGACTGCTCACAACTGCCCTATGACACATGTCAATCACTCTCGAAATAATACCGGAAACAGTTATGGTTTCCGATTTAGGGATAAACTCGAAGTTATTTATAAGTCAATTACTGAACATGGCTCGGATCCAGAATTTAAACTCAAGGTGAATAGTTGCTGAAAATCGAAACACGGACATAAGAGACCAAATAAGAGGTTAATGGCAATCAAGTTGAATGCAGAGAGGAGAGCACCCTTTTAAAATCCCATACTTAACGTTCAAAATTTAAATTAAATTCTCATTAATTAGCGTCAGGATTTAAATTTTATTATTACTGTTACCGTTTAAAAAATATTCGTTATGGTTGATTTTCTGTGCACAAAAAAATTTTATTTGTCATTGTAACATGCATATCATCTTTTAGGGGTCGTTTCTGTAATCAAATTCTAGTTACCATAAATCATCTAATAAGACCCCCCTCTAAAAAGCCCTCCTTTTTAGAGGAAGAAATTTGTTAAGCCCCTCCCCCTCAATTAGGCCCCTACCCTCCCCCTCAAAAAAAAAAATTCAAAAGAACATTGCATGTCAGTAAGTACGATAAATTTATTCAAGTGCTGTAAGTTTTGTCTGTCATATTGATTATGGTGATTGATTCATTGATGTTATCATGTTGGCATCAGTAGAATACGGTATACGGAAATTACAGAGCGATGGTAAAAATATAACATGGCTAAACAAGGTCCATTGAGAGAGTTACATCATTGAGTTCTTCATTGAATCCTGAATTAGAGAGCCCCCCCCCCTGTATTAAGCCCCCTCTAATAAGCCCCCCAACGTACCTGAAGTAAACAAACCCCCTAAGGGGTTTATTAGAGGATTTACAGTATTAGAAGAAGTTAAAAAATTTCTCACCCAATTCACAAGACTCGAATTTGTCAGATTTTGAGTGCACAGGGAATAAATATAGATCAGATTTAAGATTAATGTCGTTTTATCTCAACAGCTTCGTTTAGCACAAAAATTGGCTCAGTTCCACTGCGGTTTTTCCAGACGGTCATACAGTGGAAACCAGCATAACAAGGCACAGCTTGCATTCATTAGACCTGTTCTCGTCATTTAGATGTAGGATAAAAATAAATCATTTCAAAAAATCGTGTTGACATGACATTTTCTCAGATGATGTACTTCATTAGTAGACTGGACTCTAGTAACTCCTTTCTCGCTAAGCTCAGTAGCCAGGCTTTTCTGATGTTCTCGAACCTGACTGGTAGTTTTCAACGCCAACGATGTTGGAGCCACTTTTAGAGGCTTTATCCGCGCAAAGAATCATTCTAGCGAGTAGTTCGCCGAGAAGATGCGAGATTCTGCGAAAAATTGTAATGGTTTAAGTATCTTTGCAAGTGTTGGATATGTTTTTGTTGCAGTGAACGACTGATTCCTCAGTAGTAAATTTTCATATTCGAAATTCAGGGTTTGAAGTTTGAAGTAATTCCCTCCAGATTTGAGGAAACACTCGATAAAACCGCTTTTAATCAGCCTTATGAATATGTCTTGGAGAATTCGAGACAAAAAGCTCTAGAGGTGGCAGGGCGGGTCAATAAGGTCAGTGTCTTAAATGTAATATTTTGAATCAGGTCACAGGAAAAGAACTGGAAAGAGTTCCATGTAGCCCCATACATTAATTATGCATTCATTTCTTAAAGACTAACCATAAAGGTTTCTTTGCAACACTCTATGCGTAATTAATGTATGGGGTTATATGGAACTCTTGCCAAAGAACTTCGAAGATATTCTCATGTTGCTCCCTAATTATGGTCAATTTTTTGATTAATTTCTTATCATTTATTCTAGTGATTTTTTAGCCAAACCCTTTCTGTGCTAGTTAGCCTAGGATAAAAATAAAAACTATAACCTAACTAGGACATTCTTTTAATCTGATTCATTTGCAGTTGTTAGTGTCATTTTCAGCAAAACTTCCATGTTGAAGATGAGTAATCAGTGTCTTTGAACACTTCAGAGGTTCAGAGGGTACTCAGGTAGCTAGAGTTACACTTGGCTACCCTTTTTCCCTTTACACTCTTGTATCAATATGCATGTTCTCAATACTGTTCTCCATTCATTTCCAAAGGCACTGACAAGGAGAATTTGTTTATTAATAAAGAGCTTCTTTCTATGGTGATCATTTCCTTTACTCTCATGACCTTAATGTTTGTTTCAGGGGTGATAATGTAAGGAGAAATTAGATGCTAGTCACTTCTGGGGTCAAAGGGTTCATTGAGATTTATTTACTTTTCAGAGAGAGCAACCTACCTTGATCATAGGATCAGATACTGTTGTTGTAAGTAGATCTTACATACGTGTGAATTTGTCTTCATGAAGGACTAACTCTAGCTATAAATCTGCACCAGAAAGGTATCATGGCTTTCAATTGTTTTTAGTTTATACATATTTATCATTCAACAAACATATGAAATACATATATATGAACTGCGGTTATGAAACGTATATGTGCATGATCCTTCGCAGTAAAGCACTATTTAAGCAATAGTGAAAATCAGACCTGAAAAAAATTCAGGCCTGTACGGGATTCAAACCACTGACCTCTGCGATACTAGTGCAGCGCTCTACCAATTGAGCTAACAAGCCAACTGGGAGCAGGCCATCAAATTAATTCGACATAAACCCGTAGATGATAAATCAAACAACAAACATATGAAATACATATATATGAACTGCGGTTATGAAACGTATATGTGCACGATCCTTCGCAGTAAAGCACTATTTAAGCAATAGTGAAAATCAGACCTGAAAAAAATTCAGGCCTGTACGGGATTCGAACCACTGACCTCTGCGATACTAGTGCAGCGCTCTACCAATTGAGCTAACAAGCCAACTGGGAGCAGGCCATCAAATTAATTCGACATAAACCCGTAGATGATAAATCAAACAACAAACATATGAAATACATATATATGAACTGCGGTTATGAAACGTATATGTGCACGATCCTTCGCAGTAAAGCACTATTTAAGCAATAGTGAAAATCAGACCTGAAAAAAATTCAGGCCTGTACGGGATTCGAACCACTGACCTCTGCGATACTAGTGCAGCGCTCTACCAATTGAGCTAACAAGCCAACTGGGAGCAGGCCATCAAATTAATTCGACATAAACCCGTAGATGATAAATCAAACAACAACAAACATATGAAACATATGTATGCTCCCAGTTGGCTTGTTAGCTCAATTGGTAGAGCGCTGCACTAGTATCGCAGAGGTCAGTGGTTCGAATCCCGTACAGGCCTGAACTTTTTTCAGGTCTGATGTTCACTATTGCTTAAATAGTGCTTTACTGCGAAGGATCGTGCACATATACGTTTCATAACCGCAGTTCATATATATGTATTTCATATGTTTGTTGTTTGATTTATCATCTACGGGTTTATGTCGAATTAATTTGATGGCCTGCTCCCAGTTGGCTTGTTAGCTCAATTGGTAGAGCGCTGCACTAGTATCGCAGAGGTCAGTGGTTCGAATCCCGTACAGGCCTGAATTTTTTTCAGGTCTGATTTTCACTATTGCTTAAATAGTGCTTTACTGCGAAGGATCGTGCACATATACGTTTCATAACCGCAGTTCATATATATGTATTTCATATGTTTGTTGTTTGATTTATCATCTACGGGTTTATGTCGAATTAATTTGATGGCCTGCTCCCAGTTGGCTTGTTAGCTCAATTGGTAGAGCGCTGCACTAGTATCGCAGAGGTCAGTGGTTCGAATCCCGTACAGGCCTGAATTTTTTTCAGGTCTGATTTTCACTATTGCTTAAATAGTGCTTTACTGCGAAGGGTCATGCACATATATATTTATCATTGTTTTCCTCAAAAGCAGTTAGGCTTAACAAGGGGGGATACCAATGTTACAAATTTTAAATCAATTTGTTCAGGTTCACACCTGAAGAGACACTTAAACAACTCACACAAGTTGCAATAAAAACGAGTTAACATACTAAGTTAGGAATATATTATTTAAACAATCAAACAATGGCCTCCGAAAAATGATTATTGTTAATTGTAAAACTTTGTACTTTGCGAAGAAAAGCAAAATTATACTGCCATCAGCACATTACACATTCTTTTCTCAAAAAGTACAATTACATAAATGCTTTTTTTTGCTATGGCAGGTCTTGGATAAAGTTATTCTTGAAAAACCGAAAGACAAGGAAAATGCATTTTCAATGTTAAAAAGGTGAATGAGGTCATGATTGTATTCTTGTCTCAGGTATGCTGCAGGGGGCATGGGTTTTGATTGATATGCACTGGTCGTAAGCTTTAAATTCTTAAGTTGTTCTGTGTAAATGCAAGTTTCATAAGAAGACGTTAAGAGTTATTAGAAAAGCATGTAAAATCACTGTTTGAAAGGGTTGGCATATTTTGTATACTTTTCAAATGCTTTCAACTTCCCTTCCGTATGGCAAATTTGGTATGCATGTCAGATGTTTGTGTAAAATGAGCATGAAAACTGTTTGTGTCTGTATTTTAACATAATAAGCACCCAAGTACATGTGTTTGTGCATCTAGTACACTTAAATGCATCTTTAAAATTGATTGTTCTAATCTTGTGGTAGTATTTCATAACAAATGTACTGGTATATTTTTTCAGTTTGAGTGGCAAGGACCATGCAGTGTTCAGTGGGGTTACTCTTTTACAAAAAGAGGGTGACAAAGGTATTCATACAGTTATCTATGAAATATATCTCTATGGAAGCACTGCACTCTGTTATAAAAATTGTAATCAGGGTTTTACTAAGGATTGTAGGAAAGTCTGTTAAAAATTGTTCATTTTTTGCTTTGTAACTTTTGACTGAAAGTTTTGGGGCTTACTTCCTACTGAAAATTTTTTGAAAAGAGAAGGCTCTCCTACGATGGCCAATACAAAGATTCAAAAATAGAGAGCGTTTAAAATAGGTACTACTCCAAATTCTCCATTTGAGGTAACCATAATAGTTGTTTTGTCATCGATTCATTCATGGTCAGAAAGGCCCTTGTGGAGGGTAACTGGTCAACTCACCTGCAAGTCATGTTGCTCCAAACCTGGGTTATGTCACCCTAAATGTCACCCTAAATGTCACCCTAAATGTCACCCTAAATGTCACCCTAAATGTTTGGCATTTCGCCTAAAAAAGAAAGTCGAGTTGCCCGGAGAAAAAGATACTTGAAATATCAGACCGTAAACAAGTAATAAAGGTAAAGTTGTAAGGTGAGAGGAATTATTTAAATGGAAATCAGAATGCAAAAACGTCCTGAATCACTCAAAATTATGCTTGCTAAGCTGCATCAAATTTTAATCCTCTCCACAATCATGAACTCGGATCAGAAATACATTAATCTACAACATCAAGAAATGGTTAGATATTCTAGTCGTCTCAGATAGGGAAGAATAAATGGAGGTCCTGTCTCCAGCAGGGTTGGGGTAGGAGACGTTAATTTCCAACACACGAGATTACTGTGTGATGGATGTTCTCCCCGGGGTGGGATGGGTGGGTAAAAAAAGGGGTTAGGTGTCAATTGGTACGAAAGTTCTGTTCCTTTCTCCTGCCATTCCCGTGGCGAAATGAACTAAACTAAACTAAACTTAATTAGCATAATAATGAACGTGGAATTACACCAATAAACCAAATTTCTTCAATTGGATTGATTTTCGGGAAGTTATGGGTTGATGAATTAATAGTAATCATTAGATGATCATTTAGAGTTAGTAAGCATTTTAGAACCCCAAGAGAAAACCAACTTCTTGTATCTTATTGGCTTAAAGAACCGTGCATAACCCAGTTTTATGAGGAGACGTTGGTGTCATTTGGAACGTTAACAGATGAAGTGATCCAGGCATACATTGCAACTGGAGAGCCAATGTGAGTTTTTGGTGAATTTGTCCGTTTCGTTAATTTTCTTTCGACTCAAACTTTGCGTTTTTATCAATGTGAAAATTTTTTCTCTTGCATCAAGGGCATGCTAATTTAGTGAAAAAGGGACTTTTTCGCCGTAAGGAAACGAGACAAAAGATTTGAGGGCAAATTGATAAAAAAAAAGGGGGTGACCCGTTATATTTGATTGAGTGAACTTGTCCAGCATGATTGGGATGAACTTGTAGGGAGAGAAACTGCAGTGGAGCAGCACCCCCAGATACCCAACCATTCCCTTTGGCCTCGGTCCAACCTTAGCATTGAAAGGTTCCGCAAAGGTTGTTTTTTTTTTTCCTTCTTAGGGACAAGGCCGGATCATATCCTTAAATAGACTGTAAGTATTGCTTTACGGTGCACAAATGCCATAGCTTATACTCTCAGACTGTTTATATAGCACTCCTTGTTATGTTGTCAAGCCAGCGAAGAGCGTTGCATGAAAACTGAGGGCCAGAAGCTACCGTTTTCTCTCTTTTTCTTTTCCTGCTCATTAAACAGGAGGCAGGGTGGTTTAGCAGCCGGAACTCTGAGTCGCGCGATCCAGAAGCCTCGTGTCCGGGACCAAGGTCACTCCATTTTTCTCCAATCTGTTCAAATTTTGGACCTTTTATGTTTTATTCGTATTATTTGCTTCATTGATTTGCGGGGCCCCATCAGTTTTTTTTTTTTCTCTAAGAATGAAAAATTCATCATTTTGTATGCGTTATTTTGTTTCAATCATAACAAACAAAAATTAGGTCTTCAAAACTTGTTTTAGTTACAAAATTGAGTGCTTTTCGTTTAATTGTCATAAAACCCTAAATCAAAGTGATGAAGAAAGTCAATCAGAACGAAGAAAAATGGCATGAGGAGCCAATAAGAACTTCATGTAAAAACAGTCAAGCTACCTACACGGCAGCAAAACGCCAGGGACTAAGTCATGATTGGCTGTCACGGTAGTTTTAGCATCTAATTGGTTGATAGGATGGCGCAAACTTGCTGGACCAATCACAAGGCGTATTGAAGTAAAAACTTGAGTAATACTGAAATGCTTTAGACATTGTTGAAAATTGCTCGGTGTGCTTGAAAATTTCACTGTTTTCTTTAACATCAGTTAAATATGGCATTCAGGGAATTGGTGGCACACTAGTCAAGTCTATTCATGGCGACTACTTCAATGTCATGGGATTTCCTCTGCACCACTTCTGCGTTCAAATGAGAAAATTATTTCCTAATAATATTGGCTAAGAAGACCCTTTTTGCCGTTTTTCTGTGCATACAGAAAGTGATGGAACTCTTTCCTCGCGCTGAGTCTCTCCACTCATACCGCTTTTAATTAAAAAATTCATAAAAAGAAAATGTTATGCGTTCAATATTGGATATTCTCCTATTTTTCATTTACGGTAAATCTCTGGTCATTTCATAGCTCATGTCCTTGCCAACAAGTGACTGGTCGAATGAAATTTTTTTGTTCTACCCCAAAACGATTTAAACCCGAATCGGATTCATTTTGTGGGAAGACTGAGAGGGGGGAGGGAGGGGCTAGGTTTGTCCGGATGCATACTTTAAGTCTAACAGGACCGTATGGATACTTTAAGTCTAACAGGACCGTACACATGGTTCATTTGTCATCCTGCGGAACGTCATTTTAGCCGATTATCCGTTATGATATTCGATGAGGATCGCAATAGGCCTGCGAAATGTTGTCAAGTGACATAAACTTTAGGTTTTTAGGAAAGCATTGACTTTTTCATGCTTGACATGTGCTCTAAACCTATATTTTGCTCAAAAATTACCCAGAAAGACAAACATTGCTCGAGATTGTTGGAACCTTAAAAAGTTGCTCCAAAAGCCTAAAGTGTCTCAAAAGTTTCCGAGCACAACTGGAACAAGCCTAATTCCCGGAAGGAACTCGTATTAGATTCTTGGTGACAAGGAAACCGAATTTTTTTTCCTTCCTACCCTGTCACCCTGCTATGTCGGGCGCGCGCAAGGGTATCAATGTTGACCGGCCACCAAATTCCGGCGCAAAATTTTAAAGGGGAAGATAAGAAACAACAGCATTCACGGAAAATACGCATAACAAATTGAAACGTTCATAGAAAGCAGTCCAAAGCTGTAAAAGGAAACAGGAATACAGATAGGAAAACTTAAGCTCGTGAACACAAGGCTTACCTCTACAACGTTCGCTCATGCGCAGAGTTTTGACCGCTTTGTTGTAGAAATTAGTAAAGGCGGAAAAAATTTTACGAAATAAGAGCTACTTTGGACCACAGTTCCGCTATCAACAGAGGAGCATTTTCCTATGCGATAACATTGTTTTTAAAGCCATCTTTCTAATTTTTTCTCAGGACATAACGCAGTGTTTTCATTGTATCGAAATTGACAATGGCATTTATTTACGCCACAAACTTCGCTGGGTAATTAAAAATGCGAAGTATGTTTTCGTTCACTTTGTTCCATCTCATTATGTCAGTCAATCACAGAGTTCTTCATTCTTGGACGAATTTTTAACATTTAATGTTTCATTTATAAACAAGGTATCTTATTTATGGGTAACTTCACCGTGAGAACAAGACTAGCCAGTATCCTAGTATAGTTTTTTTGCTGTCTTAGGAGTACACTTATTAAAGATTAAAGCCAATACGGAAGACTTCAGAGACTATTTATATGAGTTGATTTGCGCTAAAGTAGCGGAGATCCATTACAAACATTTTTACCTTTAACAAAAAGATCTTGAATGAGACCTATTTGTAGATATTACCCACGTCTATATCCACAAATCGTTCGGTTCACTTGTGACAATAAATTCTTTATCAATTACGGTTAAGTATCAAGCTTGTTCCCCATTTTCGTGGTAAATATGTATTTCATAAACAATCCCAAATGAAAGTAGGCGTCAGGACTTTAAAACTCCGCAAAACTAAGGGTTAAAAAAACTGCCGTGTTTAAATAATTTTTGAAATATCTCCATGCGAATACGACTTTTCTCTCCTAAGCTAAATGTACGTCAGCCCTCCACTCCGCAATTGGGCGATCTCAACATTTATACAACCAACTGTCATTAGCGAAGGATTTGATGGGAAAAAACTAGTGCAACGTAACGTAAAACTGCAAATATTCAAGAGTCGACAACAGATTTTTTTCGGTTTTAGTGTCCGTGCGCCTTTCAACTCGATGATTCCTCTCGTCGTGTAGATTGTTACTCGAGTGACAGTGAATTCAGTAGCTTTTATTTCCATACTTTACGGACTTAATGGCCATTGTCTTTGTTAGACTCAAAGGCGACGGCGCGAGAGGTGCTCTACTGTGTCTCTTCGTTGAACCACGTCATACGTTTACTGTGATCATTGCTGAGCCTGACATGTGTGATAATGAAAATCAAGATCTTTAAACTGTCACCATTTTCTTGGTTTAAGTTTGACTTCAAACATATACAGTTGTAGTTAAAGTTTATCGGGATAAAGCTTTGGGAGTGAACCAAAGAGCAACTTGCCGAGAGTCATTTCCATTGGTTTAATTGCCTGTCATAAGTCAGTTGTCACTTACTACTCCATACCTTAATTTTTCTTAAAATATCACGGCCATTCTTTTGTAATATTAAGGGTTTGTACTGTCACTTAAACCGACGATATTTTTAGTCTTGGGTTTTGGCTCGTTTTTTTTCGCTATCTTTTCTTTTTTCAAAGGATAAAAAATTCTTTTGTATTTTTTGTTGCTTGTCGTCGCTCATTCAATTTTAATTATGTTGTAAATTGCGCGCGATACCAATCTGCACGCGATCCATTGTTTGGCAAAATCTTTTTAGCCTCAGTTTGTTATAAATAACAAACTGGATTGAAATAAAATGAAAAAAAAGTTGTTGTGTTTACAACTAATGAGTAGAGGCATCCTGTATCATAGCTTGAAATTTGAAATAGTTACGCGAATTGGGGTTTGTGCTTGAAATGCTAACTGCGAAAAGATTGAATCGACTGATATTGCAACGGATGCATCTGTTTGCTGTTTTATTCTCTACGCCCGTCTCTATCAGCTCAGACAGGGTGAATTAAATCTTCAATTCGCATCGTTTAGCTTTCTTTTGCTTGTCTCTCAGATGGATTGCTTGATTCCCTATTCAAACCACTTTTCTCGTTTCTCCACAACACTTGTGTGGCGTGTCCAGATGGTTCCTAGCTTAAACGACAGATCAGTGCTACAAAATTCTTGGGAGAACCCGCGAAATAAGTTTCTTAAAAAATTTTGATTGAAAAGAATGTCAAAGTAAAACTATTAACTCATTCACGGGTTCTCGTAACGCAGCACTCGTGATCTCGAGAGATCACGTTTGTTAGAGTCCTCATCATTGCCAAGTTGCTCACGTCCCTCTTTACTTCAAAAGTTTGAAGCACTTTGTCAAATGCTCGTAAAAAAAAAAAAATGGATATTTCATGTCATTTGGTCTTTGTTGCTTGCCTGGCGACCGTTTTACAAGTGAACGAGCTTTAGACATTTCTCATGATGTTTGCAGTCAATGCGTTTCTTAATACGGAACAAGAAGAATCTTCCAACTAGTAGCAAAACGGGATAAAGGATGCTCATTTATTCCATTGTATCTCTACGACGGAATTCGTACAGTTCTAGCACCGATGTTTCCGTCGGCGTATTCCCCACAGAAGCTCTTTCGTTGGCGTGGCTCCCTCTGAACCTGCCAACAATCTTTGTAACCACGTGGACTGCGTTGAGGCGTTACCAAACTTGTTTCAATTACATCTTTTTATATGGAGCTCTTCAAGCGATAAAGTCAGATACAGATTAGAAAACTGCTTCAATGGTATACGTGAGTACTGGATATGTCCATCTGTGTCCTACTGTTGCTGTTCTTGAACGCACAAGGCTCATCAAGACCTTCTGAACATAAAATTTCCTCTGTCGAGACACTGCGAATATAACGCCCGACTCTCCCCCATAATCACTTCTCATTGGCCAGAAATGATCAATGAGTACTTTCTCCCTATGATATAATACACTGTCTTTCAGAAAGGTGATGAGAATGAAGAAAAATATCACCGAGTTGAAATTGTTTGATTTTTCACCAAATTCTCTGAGCTTCAATAATAAGAAATGTAAAATATTCAGGACGTAAAGAGAATTGATTTTGAGATCGCGAGAGCGAAAGGAGGAAGATATGTTCGACGCTTCATTTAGGCGTTTGGGTTGAATAATAAAAGACATCTCAAACACGGTCGGTAAACATCAAACAAGGTGATCAATCCTAATTTTGTTTTCTTTACGGCGTGGGAAAAGATGTAAAAATGGTTACGTGAGCAGTCCAAGGGCTTGTTGGCGTAAATGTGGAGTCATTAGAACATAAATCATCTTTAAAGAATGCTGTCGTCGACAAACAGAATAAACTCTCAAAACAACAGGAAATACCTCCTTGTCGCTAAATCCTCAAGATTGTTTTTACAGGAAATGTCGATTAGTAATAATTAAGAGGAAATGTACAAAGACGACTTGAAAGTTCGAGTGAACCACGCATTGCGAAAGATCAGATTGAAATAAAATCATTTGCAGTTTTGTAGTTCTTGGTTGTGATAAATTATTGACCGCGATAACTTGAGCACAGTAGATAACTTTTCGAGAGAGAGGTTTTGTAATCCGTTCAAGTGGGAGTGTCGTGGTTTTTGATGACACGATAGCATTACATTGGGGGCGTTTTATCAGAAGCGAAAGGAACCCAATTCCTGTGGCTTTTTCTCTCGGATTTTCCCCTAAAAGCCGGCTGCGATCAACGGAATAATTGATAGCTAAGCTGAGGGGTGGATGAGTTGTTAATGGTTTCGGCGCAACAACGCTGACACAAAATTTTAGGCCATTATCAGTTTGTTCTTGCGCTTTTAAAGTGTCCAGTTTCTTTCCCACACATTGCTTCCTACTGATCTTGCTGAGCTGTAATTGTTTATCTCTGTTGTCTTGAAATGGTTTATCATGCCTTGAAAGGGTTTGTTTTGCTATTAAATGATATACTCGGAACTACTTGTGCACACGAATAATTTGCGAAAGCTCTACGTTCTTACAGCGGATTTAACAACGTTGCCTTGATTTATTTCTGTGTTTTCTCCATTTTCACAAAGTCAAAGACTTGTTGAACAAGTGAAAAGAAAAACATCGTAAGTTTTCTCTGCTCGCAGTAGTGGTAGCCACCACATTTAGCACTCTAATTATCTCATCACCATCAATGATTTGATCGCAGAAAGACGAATATTAAAGTTGACCAACAGGCGCCATCGATCTGTGAACAAAAAGGCACTTCCGTCAAAGCCAAGTTCATAAAAAGAACCTTACGTCCCCGAATTCACTTATTGCCGATGAAAAGATGTAAACTGTTTGACGCCCTAGGATTTGAGAGTTCTCCCGAGAAATGACCGATAAATTTTCCTTGGCTGAAACGTACTGGTCTCACTTGCTGTTTTTCCACACCTGGGTGCTATCAGTATCTGGTTTTTGCCCGTCTGAGGTTATCACCGCAGCAAGCATTTCTCACCTCCTCATAAAAGAGCAAGTAGTATGTCAAATTTTTCGAAACAGAACTCCCCGCATTCATATGATTTTTTCGGTCACCTTTGTTTTAGGTTAATTTTCAAATACATCGGCATATGAAAAAAACATCAAAAGTTGTCAATCTCAAGGTGGCACAAGTGAAATAGTTTCAAAAGTGCAAGCAAGGTTATTGGAGTATTTTAAGTGATAATTGAGCGCGAAGAACAGCAGGAAAATGCGGTAACTTGAGTCTCCTAGGCTACGAGGAATTTACCATTTAAATTTCCTTGCGATTTATGTTAAAGTGTCCAATATTAGTAACAAAGTTTTGCAAACAGAACAGTGCTTTTCAGCGCAAACTTTCGAAGTGTCCGGGTGTTACACAGCGTCAAACTTTATTCAATCCCGTGCTTCTGATATGATTGACACCTGACAATATTTGAACTGTGTCACGGTCACGTGGAACCAATCGGACAGTTCGCTAGTCGTCGGCGACGACATGGCGCAGTGTTAAAAGGTTTTAATTGATTGTTTGCTGAAGCTAAAATTCACTTATTGCCTCAACGTTCTTGATAAGCTTATGAATGCGTGGTTCAAACAAGTACACAACATTACGCTTGTCTCGGGAACACTCGACCAGCCAAATGTCGCTAAAAAATCCAAGCAGCCAGAAAGGAGGCAACTTGTCGAACAATGCTAGAGCATTTTCGATCGCGTCCCTCGTCCATGAAGGTAGGTGATCAAAGGTGTCTCTTTCCATAGTGACTACAGGCATTAAGGATTTAATCGCCTTGAATCGGCTTATATATTTTGCGTTTCTTAGAAGAATTCGGGACAAGGCCTGGTGAGAAAAGTCTGATATCTGAAAGAGAAAGAGACCACTCACCGGTCCCACGAAAGAAGCTCAAAACTTTAAAACCAAATGCCATATTGGAAGGCAAGGAACTTTGGAACTGCTTCTATCGCCTAGGTACAGAAATGATAATCACCAAGACAGGAAGGTCAGTTCAAGTTTGCTTATTGCACGTCCGTGCGATAAGATAATAATTTACCGAGGATCAGTCGAAATATGATGAAATATTTCACAGTTTTCCTTAACTTGTTCACAGCTATTGTAAAAAATTCAAACCCTTCACTTACTTCGCTCTTTTTTAAGTTGTTGTTTAGTCTAGTTTGCCAACGGGCAGTTTTCCATCCATAGGCCGAGTCAACGCGTTGCTGATATCCCAGATAGCACAAATTGACCACTGTGACAGAAAAATGGCTTCTCTGCGGTTTATCCGTTAAAAACTTTTAACAGCATGTTTTCAAACAACAAATTGTTACTGTGGTTATAGCCTTTGTGGTTTGCCGCTCCGTTCAGTAGTACAGACGGTTTTCCCATTCTTTGTGATGTTTTTATTGCGCTATCAACAAATTAATCAAAAACTGCGGGGGTTAATTTTCGAAACAATAACAGGCTAACAAGTTCGGAACGAATATAGAAAGTAAATCCAATGTGAAATGTTAATGCACCCTTAGCTAATCTGCGGGAATTATTGTTTTGAAAAAAACAAGACAACAGAGAAGTGCTGAAATGAAAGCTTTTAAAAGTATATATAGCAAAGGCTACTCAACACTCCTTAATCAGACCAAATTCTCACATTTTCAGCAATTGCCACCTCACCAATATATGATACTTGAAATTATATCCCTGTGCGACGAAAGGAACAACGTTTGAAGATCCAAATTTTCTAAAAAAAGATAGTGAAAAATGTATGAAATACTCTAGAAAACAGAAGTGCACGGGAATGAAAAAGTATTTCCTAACTACTTCGGTTTTGTGAGTGAGCTTTTTCAGTTCATTCTTTATTTGGAAAATTGCCTTGTTTTTGCGTAAAATCAATTGCCCTTTCGCATACCTGCCTCAGAGCTTTGTTCAGTTTATTTCCATTAAATTCCTTTTCACTTCAACCAGAAACTTTGGTTGTTTTTATACGCTGAATTCATAAAAATTTCCTCAAAAGTGTAACAACTGATATTCTTTTGTGGTTTTGAAGTGATCCATTCCTCCGCAACCTGCAATTGCCAACTGCAATTTGAAGCATTTAAACTTCTTTTGTGTCTGTAGCACCCATTAGTTATGGGTTGAAAAGAGAACTCTTCCGACGGTAATCATCGCAGATGCCTTAGTGTTGAGTGCCAATGAACCGGTTTCAACTACAATTTGGGGCGTTTTAACCAGAACTCGGATCAGCCCTGAGGCGAAGCCACTGGATCATCAAGTAGAGAACGTCGAGGAGCCTTAAACAATCCTTCAACTAGATTGTTTTTGTTGTTAGAGCCATGAACTCAAACTGGGTTTCCATTGTCTTGTTATTTTACGACATTGAACTATCGAAAATTTTGTTCGGTTACGTGCAAAAAGTGAAATAAATCAACATATGGAAAGCTATTGCATTCGGTCGGCCCAAAAAAGTTTCACCAGGTTCAACCTTTTCCGCGGACCCAAGTTCTACCTGTGATGTTTTTTACTCCATTTTTACGAACGTAAAGTCCAGCGAAATTTGCCTCCATTTAAGTAAGCTTGCCTAAAAGTTGCGAGAACGAATTGGAAAACAGCTTCAAAATGTCAGTGAAAGACTTGTTGCTTTTAAAGCAAGAAAGCCGCCCACTCTTAGCCAATGAAGGGAAATGTTGGAAAGTGAAAGCTATTCGTGCGAATGAATAGCAGCTATAGACGAATCTTTGAAGGCAAGATCACTGTCAAGAGCATTTGTACGTAACTAGAGCGAGATGATCGTTTATCATCGTTTACCCGTAATCTAGAAAAATTCTCGAGAAGATTCTTAAGTTCATGTTGCTGCATGATTCTTTCTTAGAAGAAAAACAAAAAGAAAAGAAAAAATAAAGCATCTCCGCGATTCCAAATGGTTGCGAGACAATTTCGCACGCCATAGAAGAAACTCTTCCGCGTCAAGACGAGTATGGCCGAAGTTTTTTCTTTAGGGTAGCGATACGAGAATGGCTACAAACAAAACTGAACAATGGTTCATTTTCTTTCGTGTGTTGACTGACCCTCATTTATTTCCAACCAAGTTTCTTCAGCTTTACACCTAAGCTAAATTAAAGCAAAAGCACTAGTGAGAATTAAGCCGATTTTTTGTTTCTATTTGTTTTGGCGGCAAGCACCTGCTAATGATCCTTTATAACTGTGATGGCCTACTTCTCTATGTTTTCTTTGCGCGTTAATGGCTATGGTCATAGGTTTAAAGTGTTCTTAAATTCTGTTCAAAAAGGAGCCAAGGAACCTTTTAGTCCTATTTTATTGCCCAAGCTCTGGCAAAACAGAGAGTTAGCATTAAGTTTTTTTTTTTTTGCTAAAAAGTGGCTTGTATAAGGTTTCATTACTTCCCTGGTCATCCACTTAGGAAGTCGTGGAAACGCATTGGAAAGTAGCACGCAAAAGTCACGTGATAAGGACATTAGGCTGAGACGCTGCGACTGCTGTTTGACAAACACTGTAATTGCGTCTCATTCGTTCTGATAAAAGCAGATCATTTTCCAAGTTTTCTTCCGGGAGATTGAAAACACGAATTTTAAAAACGCTAAGGAGCCTTTTTCTTACAAACCATAGTGTTAGACCTGAAACAGTTGACGATTTTCCAAAATTAAAGTTCATAAAAAAATCGGCAACCACAAGGAGTATTTAAATAGCCTTTTCTTTTTTCTTCTTCTTCCATTTGATTAGGGAAAAGTTGTAACTTTTAATTAGCTAAGAAATTTTGTGTCTCTTTTAATTCACAGGCGAATGTTCCCGACCGTCCGTGTATCCTTCGTGGATCTTGAACCAGATACCAAGTATGCAGTGTCGTTGGATATCGTGCCTCTAGACTCCAAACGGCACAGGTATTCTTATGCGGACTCCGCCTGGTTCGTTGCAGGAGAAGCCGATGCTGCGCCCCCTAAAGTAACGTGCGTTCACCCTGACTCGCCATTCACAGGGAAGCAGCTGGAAAGACAAGTGCTCTCATTCGAGAAAGTCAAGTTAACGAACAACCGGGATGACAAGCGAGGAAATGTAAGTGGGAAACACCCAAGCATTATTTACTGACATTGAAGTCGATAAGAGTGATGTATGACTTCCTTATTTTTTGGCCATGGTCAATGGTTTATCTGATCAAGAATTGTCTACCCTCGCACTGGCCCAAGATTTTCCGGCGGCCCCCTCTTAACTGGCTTTATTTCAGCCGTCGTGCCCATAAAAACTATAAAGGCGACTTTCATTTATAGCAATTATTTTTTAATTATCAATACAACCTTTGTTATTTGCGCAAGTAGATATGTTGTCTTTTTTATAAGAAACGATAATTTAACGTTCGAAAGAACATTAACGAAAATTGCGCTCGACAATTTTCTCGTTCCGTCCGTTATCACAAATATCTAGAATTGATCTACAACCCAAAGTGTCTAATTTAAATGCCTTACAGGTGTCTTGTCTACGTTTTGCATGTTTAGAACCGAAATCAATCCTATTTCCTAACTCGGGTTTTTTTTTTTTCTTTTTTTGTTAGCACAAACGGCCTCCAGGTTTTTAACATAATTTGAACAGTTCATGCCCCACATGTTTATCTTTTAAACTTGGCAGCCACGTATGTTAATGCTCAAAATTTTTGTGACGATCAGAAGTTGCCACGGGTTTATTGTCTCTTTTCTCAGACATAAAAAAATTGGCGGGAAATATGTCGCCATTTATAATGACAATCATGTAAATTTTCCTAACAAATATCATCGTTTTTTTCGTGAATCCTAATGGAGAACAATTTACGCCATTGGGCTCGCATAGAATTAGTTTTTACACACTCACGATGTAGGACTCTTTGATGGAATTTTCACCATTTCCCAAATTTCTCAGCGCATGATTAACGAGTTTTTCTTCCCCGTCACAACTGTTCACAATTTTTTTTTTTGGTTCTGCGCGATATTTACGCTTACCGTAGTTCGTTTTTCTTGTAAAGTGATCTGATGTTTTGGGTTACGTATGACATGCCATTAGCTCGTGATACCCTTGAACAGTCCAGCTTTATACCGCTACAATACAAAACTGAACAAAACAATTCCACCTGTAGGCGAGATCGACTCATCCCATTTTAAAAATTTTTATTCAACCCATTTCAGTTTGCTTCCAAAATGTGGTTCCTGAAACGTCTTTCATACAGACATATTCTCCTCCACTACGACTATGTTTTCGCCGAATCTTGTGGCGCCTCGTTTTTAGGCCAATTTACTTTGCTTCAGTCTTCTTTGTCAGCCATAATAGGGTCGAAATAGTTTCTTGAAATGCTGGTTTTTATATACATATGCCCCTATATAAAATTTAAAGCACGGATAAGTAGTAAGTCTGCCTTAGTCCGGAACATAATTTGAAAAAAGTTCAAATTACATGATAGTGCTCTGCCAAGACTTTTGTGGTTAATTAACTTTTTTCGCAGTTTTTCTGCGTCGAAAACGGACAACCTTTTCGATATACTTCCTAGTTATGAAAGGACCCAAGTTCTCCATGATGAACACCTTAAAACAAAAAATTCGCCTGCTTAGGAAATTCTCGAACTTCGCGTGAGATGATGTTTCGTGGCTATAACATTGAATCCTCGTGGGAAACGTACATGATATTTTGTCTTCTTTTAGCAGCAGTTTAAACGGTGACAAAGAGAAAACCGCAACTGGTGAAACACTATACAACTTAAACTTCATTCCCTTAACCTGTTCTAGAAATAGATATTTCTCATCCATAATTGAAGAAAGAGATACAAAATTTTAAAAACTGTCTTTATCCATGAAAGGCAGCAATTTTTAAGTTATCAACCATTAAATTCAGTACCTCAACGGCACGCAAGCAATACAGATTTTAGAATGCATTATTGAATTGAATACTTTTACCGCATTTGCGTAGTGGCTATCAGAAGTTAGGCGATGCCCTATTTTTGCCAAGTTGTATGTGTAGGGACACGATTGGGGTGGAAATGATGTTCTCTGTATATTCATTGTAAGTAACTTCAAAAACAGAGAGATATCAGAAAAAAAGAAGTCCTTCTTTACCCCAATGAATATGAGATGCTTGCTAGCGCAGTTTGAAAACCTTCGCGATTTGCAAATTATAATGAACGAACTTGACTTGCGGCTGTTGATAAAGGGATGAGCTTGAATCATTTGGAAACCTCACAGCTTTAGGCCTATTTTGTTCATATAAACTGAACATCCTTAAACTGTTTTTCAGAAATGTAATTTGCCGCTGTAGAATTTGTACTAAGGCGTTTGTGTAAGTAGGTGGCGTGCGAGTTGTTATGGAAAAAATGCGTGTTTTCATTGATACTTTTGCTCCACATTGTAGATCATTTTAAACTCCATGCATAAATATCAACCAAGAATTCATTTGGTCAAGGATCCTTCAGACGAAAATATTCACAAAACAGACTTCACCGGAGCAAAGACCTTTGTGTTTCCAGAAACGACATTCATGGCGGTCACTTCGTATCAGAATCACCTCGTAAGTGGCGTTTAAAATGATTTTATATTAAGAAAGATGGTAAATTGCGAGCGCGGTGATCGAGTTAAAAAAGATATAAAACAATTGTTTTGAATTTGAGTCAAATAAAAACCAAGTCTTGTTTTCCAGAATTTGTAGTCGTATGGTCTACCAACTCAGTTGTGGAGAAGCTGTTCGTTAGCTATGCTATGGTTAAATCATACGTAGCAAGCATTCAGCTTACCGTTAGAATCAGCAATAAATGTTGAAGGCATCCTGTTTGAAGCCTGAAAAGAGGAATTTGGTACATTTATTCAGTGCGAAGGAAGATTGAGTCACGCTAGGTTGCGATTGACAAAGATAACAAAACGTTTAACCTTTGATTAAAAAGAATTATTATTTCGCAGATAACACGACTCAAGATTTACAGTAACCCGTTTGCTAAAGGATTCAGGGACTCGATTAGATTTTTAGGCAACACGGAAAGGTTCGTATACATTCTTTTAACTTAATCTAAAACGAACAGTCTTATTGCATAAATCGCTCCTTTTGTTGAGAACGGGGACGTCAGATCGGCGCTGAAGTACCATTTGATTTCTGTTCCCCAGAGAGAGCTATTTGATGTCAAACGGCATTCAGGCGTATGAAAATGAAGATGGTGCATGCTTTCTTTCAAGTGGAGCGCTGACCTATGACTCAAGAGAATTGTTTAGTGATGGTAAGTCTTTTTCAAATCTCCAATTCATGAAATATTTTTGTCTTCTCGCGACATTTAGAGATGGACCCCATCCATTTAGACTTCGTCGCTTATGATCTACAGTTAGTTATTTTTAATGAATAGTTGAAAATCCGCCGGTTATGGAAGAGCTCGTGTAGACGATTTGGACTTTTTTCTAGCCTGTTGCAGGCGTTTAATTGACAAAACAGAACATGTACGGAATGATAGCTGCAGAACGGAAATAACCAAGCAGGTTTGGTCGAGTCGCGTTAAGAACCAACCCAAGCCTCGAAAACGTCCCTCCATTTTTGCACCCGGTCGAGGTCCAAGCCATCCTCCTTTTTTCTAATCGACCCAACCTTCCTCCTCTTTCCTACCCGACCCCAATTTCCCTCGTTTTCTCTACTAGACCCAAACCTCCCGATTTCTTTCCATTCGACCTAAACCACTCTCTGTTTTTCTACCCCATCCAAACCGCCCTCGGGGTTTCCGCTCCCCCGCAGATGTCGCACCATTAGCTATAGCGCTCCGTCGACTAACTGAACGCGTGGAACAAGAACAAGAACAAGAATTTTCCCTTTTTTTTTTTAGCTCAAAGTAAAAAGTATTCATACCCTCGCTTTTGCGCAAATGGTTCCCTCTTTTACAGAAAACCTTTACTGAGCCAAGATATCATCATGCGATTTCTATTTGATTTTACTCATTCTCGAAGACGAAAATTCCCACCCGTAAGTCGCAAAAACAGTTTTTTGTTTTTTTCTTAAAAAACTCATGAAAAATAAATCATTTTTCATTACAGAAATTTACCAAGTGTCAGCCCCTGCTCAGTGGGGATCATGGGAAGACCTCTCGTACTGTCGCTCAAGCAACAGTTGCTACCCTCACTCCATCCAATGCGCAAGCCCAAGTGATGTCTACAACAGAGGGCATGCGTGGTGGCGGTACTCCATCTCGCATTCAGAAGATGGGGTTTTGATTAATTACTAAGTGAAGTTCATCATAGTGCTCGGTCACTTTTGCTTTAGAAGAGGACAGGGGAGGAGGGGCTGGTTATTTTAAATTTTGCCAGATGGGAGTTTATGCTTATTCAAAGGCGCGTAAGGGAAGGTATTCGAAGGAAAACGTGCAAGGGAGGGCACTCATTGGAGGATATCTGGTAAATTATTTTACTGTTATTAATCAAACCAAAAAAATAATGTCACTAGTTAATGTTGTTTCTCCAAATCAGGAGATACTTGCAAATGTATTTATTTATAAAATTAATTTTAGTTGCATTTTTAAGTGGTCATATATCACGTAATGTTGGGTTACCATCAATACCATGAACGCTCTGATAAATGGGAATATTTGTGGTTTTTGATGAAGTAATCGGTGCACTTAAACAACCTATCATTATGGTGTCCATTAACCAGCAGCGCTGGACGCCATGTTAGCTGTTATTGGGCAATAAACGCACGGTTACATTTGACGGGGAAATTGGAAATCAATCGCTTCGGCTTCATGTTTAGTGTTAGGTTATTGAATTTACGAAATTTTGGTTCACTTATGGTCCATGAAGTAGTGCCTGATGTGCATCTACTAGAGGTACTTTGTTAAGTTTTTGTTTTCTTAAAAACAACGATGGCAAACCTCGTCATAGTCAGTTCTTTGGTTTCTAATAAGTTACAAGTTTCTCACAAGTTTGTACTAGCGTTATTTTACCTTTTAACTCTCGGAAGTGATTAACATGTAACTTCTCTCTATAATATCCATACGTTACCCACGAAACAGGTAATGAGAATACTCAAACTTATCAGGTGGAAGTTTTTATCTGGAACTAACATCAAACTCTCGAAACTAATTTAGAAGGAAATGTGTAGCAGCAAGAGGGGGTATAATCCATTTTGAATTGCCTCTACTTGAAAGCGAGTTCTGGCGCTCACCTTTCATATGATTATAAGTTTTCATTCACATGCAAATCATTTTCATACCAATGGTTGGGCACCAGGCCTCGTTTTCAAAAAGAGGCCAAAGGTAACTTGGGAATGGCCGATGAACAATCAGTTGTTGGGAGCTAAGGGTTTATTATGCACATTGAATGACACCAACTAATTTGATATCATGGACTTATTGGTCACTCTGGTTATTTCTTCACACCGATTTAAGAAAAGCAAAAAAATGTAAGAGTTAATATGAATTGTTTTGTTTTGTTTTTCGACATTTACAAAATTTAATGGATGTAAGATACCAAGTTATGAAAAATAATAACAATGTATAGTGAAAATTAAATACAATTACTCAAAGTTATGAATTATAGAGTAGTCCAGAAATAAACATGCTTTCTTTAACTGATAATTTTTGTTCTATTTTTATCACTAGCTTGACGATAATAATACCTGAAGTGTAGTCTAGTGCCCAGACCTTTCACGGCCAAGCGGTTGTAAGATCCTACATGACAATTACAGTTCCACGGCATTATCTGGGTACGAAATTACCTCAAGTTATTGTAGGGGGGAGGGGGGGTAGAAATAATGCCTGGCATTTAATAAAACAGAGTGAAAGCCGTCAATTCTAGAATATTTTCTTTCATTCAGAGGTTAGAATCTGCGTTGGTGAATTCGAAGGGAACTCTTTACACAACCTTCAGCATATGTTACAACTTTTTTTGCAATTTTTTTCCATGTAATCTTTGTAAGAGTGACGACAGTATCCACTGGCCTCCCAGGAACCACAATCTTCTTCTTTGTCCTTGCATACACCTTTCAAAAAATGATTATCAAGAATCCAGTCAAATGTTAGAAAAATACTCAGTTCAGTTCGAGTCGAGTGCGGAATGGTAATAAAGCGCAAGGGGGGGGGGAGACTGCCCATGTTTTCCACATTCGTATCCCCACTTCTTATCTCTTTGACCCCCTATCCATAGCTCGTTCCCATACTCCTCGATCTTTCTTTCCCTTCTCGAGGCAAGGGGAAACGAGACCCTGGAGAGGCGCTTACTTTCACCCTCCCCTTCCCATAAAGAAATCAAAACATAACCGAGTAACATTGTACCCCCACTATAACATACGTTGGAAGTAATGCATGACATTAAAATAAAACAAAACAAAAACATATTCGTTTCCACAGCAATGTGGCACGCAGAATATAGCTCAATTGGCTAGAGCGCCGTATTGTGTTGTGCGGGAGGTCGAGGGTTCGAGCCCCGGCCGGACCAATACTCATGGTCTTAAAATAACTGAGGAGAGTAACCCATTTCCGAATTACATTAAGACGTATAATGTATGCTCCACGTACGGCCGCACTTTGAAGCGCTCCTTAAATTTTCATCTTTTAGTCGTTTAAAACTCTCCTAAATGGCTCAACCTAGCAAAAGACCACCGCTAAACAACTTAGCTAAGTCCTTGTGGCCACGCTACGTACCGACGGTGGAAAGAGAGCTGGGAGATCGACAAAAGCCAAAGAAGCGAATCGTATTTACAACATTATACAAGCCAACCCGAGACAAAAGGACCACAGCAGAGCGAAAATCAACTCACGCGGCCATAACCCGTCGAATTGTATCTCCATCACCACCAAATTCACAAGTGTACCAGAACGTCAAGCAAGAAACTTTGTCCCATCGCTGTTCCTATCAAATGTGATGTCGCTTGCACCAAAAATTGATGAAGTAAGCCACGACCTTGTTTGCATCACGGAGTCTTG